ACGATTTTAAAATTTTACCTAGGAGTAGTCAATTTTTAAAATAAATTGACCATTTGAATTATTTTATTGTTTAACATAAAATAAGTCAATTTTTAAAATAAAATGATCATTTGAATCATTTCATTCTTTGACATGAAATACGCTAAAGTTAATTTTTAAAACTAAGTGACCGTTTGACTACCATTTTTTTTGACATGAAATAAGTTAAAGTCAATTTTTAAAATAAAGTGACCATTTGATCATTTTATTCGTTTTGTCCCTCAGTCTTTTCAAAAGTAAACGTTCGTTGTAGGATGTACAATTCTCTTCAGCCCATTGTAAACCTAGCTTGAAGGCGTTAATTGCGTCTTGTGCTGTGACTTGTGGAGCAGTTGCAATCACGTCGTCGTTATTTTCCTGATTGTTTGTTGTATAATTCTTTTATAATCTCTTCGTCAGACATTTCATGAAAAACATTTTCCTCTTTATCCATTCCACGGCACCAGATTTCCAAATCTTCCGGACTTTTCTGTGTTTCAGCAGCGACTTGTTCTATAACTTCCGAAGTTACTATGATTTGTGGAACGTTGCTAGGAGTGGTGACTATATCTGGCCATAACTTTTTCCAAGACGATTTAATAGTTGGTGACGGTAACGCATTCCACGACTGACAAAGAGCAAAAACCAAGTCTTTCATATTAAATTCTTTTAAAGTTTTTTCTATTGGTTGGTCTTTTGATACGGCTCTCAGAAGTAGGTTTTCCTTATAGTCTTGCTTGACAAACTGAATGATATTCTGGTCCATTTTTTGAATCAGTGCAGTGCAATTTGGCGGAAGAAACATCGCAGTGATGCATTTATCCTCAGTTGTTAGTTCTTCTTCAGACGGATGACCGGGAGCGTTATCAAGAAGCAACAACGCTTTTTGAGGAAAATTATGATCTTTCAACCATTTTCTAACTTCAGGTACGAAGCATTCATCAAACCACTTTTTGAAAAGGTTTTTTGTCATCCATGCACTTTTTTGTCCGTAATAGTGTACAGGTAAATCAATGTTTTTGAATGCCCGTGGTTTATTAGATTTCCCAATGACCATCATCTTAAGTGCGTGTGTGCCCGCAGCGTTAGCACATGCTTGTATGATTACACGCTCTTTACTCACTTTTCGTCCAGGTACGGATTGGTCGTTACAAGAAACGAAAGTTTTGTTAGGCATCACACGCCAAAAAAGCCCTGATTCATCTGCATTGTACACCTGTAAATCGTTCATCTTTTGCAAAAATCTTAATTTAAAGGGTGGCATCGTTAGATAGTTTCTCTCCTGTAATAGTCATTAAACATATGCCATGACGACTTTTAAAATGTTCTAGCCATCCTTTGCTGGCCACAAAATCATCTTTTTTTGTTATTTCCTTGCCTATTTCTTTCCTGAAGAAACCACATGTACGAAGCTTCTTCCACTTCTGGATGTTCAGCTTTCTTGAGTGTCTGTCTCTTGCCTGGCCCGCAGTCAATAGTTGACACGTACTTCTTGATCTTCTCGTGGTTTCTTTTAAAGTCATAAATTGTAGATCGGCCTACGCCTTATTCACTTGCTAAACTACTGAAAGTTTCATTGCAATTTAAGCGGTCTGAAATATCACATTTTTCTTTAATTGTCAATGTTTTGTGCTTTCGCTTCTGAGTTTGTGATGACATTACCAGGTACTATACTTAATACACAGTGAATAAATAGTAAACAATGAACGCACGCTAGGCCGTACCGCTATCACCAGTGGTCAAATTCAAACTAAGTAAAACAATGCTTACGCGTCGAGCACGATAGCGGTGGCGCGTACAAGTTGTAACCTGTTCAAACGCGCGTGATCTACATTAGCGAAGATTGTCAAATACGTATGTATGTAATACATATTCAAAGACATGTCGGATTACAGGGGGCGCCGGATTAGAAAAGGGGCCGGATTATCGGGGGTCCACTGTACCTATACCTGAACGTACAAAGTATAAATAACAAAATTTTGGAAATAAAAGTTCTGCTTGCAGAAAAGAAACCAGACATTTTTTGTGTCTCAGAGCATTGGCTGCAGCGAAATGATATAAACTCTGTAGTTTTAGAGAATTATCTGCCCATCAGCCATTCATCACGAACAGAATTCCGTGGCGGAGGCACAGCAATTTTTGTAAACTCAGACCTTACCGTTGAAAGCTTAAGGGCTAACACTGAGTGTATTTAAAAACACTGTGAGTATTGCATTTCACAATTTACATTAAATAATAAACATTATATTGTGATTTGTATATATAGGTCACCTACAGGGAATTTAGATTTATTTCTATCTACGCTTGATGAAGTTTTAAATTATGTGTATGCCCCAAATAAATATCTGCTGGTTTGCAGGGATTTTAATGTAGATTTCTTAGTTCATTATGATGGAGTTTTTTCTGCGACACAGCTTATGGCCAGTTATGGACTAGTGTCCCACGTGAAAGGCATAACGAGGATAGGTCCCACTCGGGGCACTCAGCTTGATAATATGTTTAGCAATATACCTGATACACAATGTAGCATTATAAAAATAAATATATCAGACCATTATGGTCAGAGCCTTAATTTTACATTAAATAGCAAGGTTCCTAACATCAATTGTGCAAGGAAACGTTTTTTCGCGGCTTCCAACATCCAGCGCTTCAAAGATCTGCTGAGCTCCGAGACCTGGAATGATGTATATGGTTCAGTTGGGGTTGAGGAGAAATATCAAACCTTCTTTAACGTACTATTTCATTATTTTGACATTTCTTTTCCATTATGTACCTATCGATTAAAATTCAAAGAACAAAACTGGGTAAATGAGGAGATAAAAGCGTACTCTAATTATATAAAAGATTTGTATGTTTGGTCTAAGATTACACATAGCCCTAGAGTATATAATCAGTATAAAATTGTACGACAAGAATACCGGAAATTTCTGTCGAATTACAAAATAGCTCTAAATGAAAGTAAAATATTAAACTCAAAAAACATGACAAAAACTGCGTGGAGTATTTTAAACGCAGAAACTAATACAAAAATTAAGCGTTCCATTGAGCTAAAACTTAATAATGGTGTAATAATAAAAGATCCCCGAAAAACTGCTGATGCCTTTCAGGAAAGGTTTGATATCTCTCCACAATCCCATGGCAGTCTTGATATTTCGGAAGCTAGTGCGATTCCCACTTTATTTTTGCTTCCTGTTGACAATAGAGAAATTAAACTAATTTTGGCGAGTTTGCCAAACAAATTTTCAGCTGGTTTGGATGAAATCCCGGTGATAGTTCTAAAGCAGATATCTGACTATATATGCGAACCGTTAGCTTATATTATTAATGAATGTCTGTTTTCAGGAATTTTTCGTCACATTTAAAGAGGGCCAAACTGGTTCCCATTTACAAAAAAGGAGATGTGCATGACATAACTAATTATCGACTAGTCTCACTGTTATCTTCTGTGTCAAAGGTCTTCGAAAAAGTCATATATTCAAGGATAATGAACTTTATGAAGAAATACAACATTTTAACAAGAAATCAATTTGGCTTTCGCCCAAATCATTCCACACAACTAGCACTATTTAAAGTTCTTACTTATATTGTTGAAAATGTGGATAAGAATGAAAAAGTGGCCGGTCTGTTTTTTGATCTGTCTAAGGCCTTCGACACCATAGACCATCAAATACTCCTTAAAATTCTGTCTAAACATGGAATACGAGGTAAATGTGCACAGCTTATAGAGTCATACCTTGACAGTAGGAAGCAGCTTGTCTGTATAACCCAAAATGGTGTTAGGCATTTTTCATCAGTTACCTTGATTAAACAGGGTGTGCCGCAGGGATCAATTCTGGGACCGTTGTTGTTCCTGCTCTATGTGAATGGTCTTCGTGACAGATTTATGGAAGGTCTGATTTGCCAGTATGCGGACGACACTACTGTTGTGCTGACTTCGTCGGACATGTCTGGCTTGTCCGGGGTCTGTTCTTGTGCAGTGGGGACCATGCAGGATTGGTGCAAGGATTATGCATTAAGATTGAATGCTGATAAAACTGGACTTCTCACGTTCAGTAAATCATCTGCCAGGGATGAGTCGCTGTTGGTTCGTTGCAATAGCGGACCAATACCAGAGATGACCCATATAAAGTTTCTGGCCATTTACCTGGATTCGAGTCTGAATTGGGATTGTCAAACATTTGTTTTGGTTGGTAAGCTCCACAGCTTCTGTGCGTTGGTGCGGCGGCTGCGAAATGAGGTTTCCTTGAACACTTTACGGCAATTTTATTATTCATCTGTACAGTCATTGTTAACTTATAGTATAATGTTCTGGGGCTCTTGGCGGGGTGCCATGTCAGTTTTTATAGCGCAAAAGCGCATCCTGAGGTGCATTTTGAGACTTCATCCTCGAACATCATGTCGGGAACATTTTTCAAGATTGGGATTCTTGACGGTTCCATCACTATATTTTTTGGCACTTGTTTTATTTGTTAAAAAGCATATGTATCTTTTTAATAGTAACGCACATTATTATGCTAAAAGTATGACCGTTGTGATCAGAGGCAGAGAAAATCTGAGTGTGCCTGCACATTCGTCCGCATTTTTAAGAGGGCTCCATTATACATGGCTGTCAAAACTTTCAATATGCTTCCTATAGATATAAAATCCGAGAGCAAGCCTATTAGGTGTAAAAGAGCGGTGAAAAAGTTTTTGCTGGACAGATGTTTGTACAGCTTTGATTTTAACATTTGAGCTGCATTATTTTATTTTAATAACATTTTAAGCTAAGTTGTGACATACTGGACTTTTATTTGTCATTTTAATAGTTTTTAATATTGTAAACATACATATAATATCCCGTTGGTATTGTACTACATTTTTTTTTGACGTTGCTTATGTTTTTTTCTTTAAAATTTTGCTGGCAATAAAGAATATTATTATTATTATTATTATTATTATAATATAAAATGAACGATTTCCGAATAAAAAGATAAACCTGGCCGCAATGGGCTAAAACTGTTTTTGTTGTTTCCAGATAATCCTGAGCTGCACGATAAAGAAGGACTTCGAGTACAACAAGGTGATGCCAACTTTTCACCACTGGAAAACCGGCGACAAGAAATTTGGTCTGACGTTCCAAGCTGCCGCGGACGCGCGAGCCTTTGACAAGGGCGTCCGCACCGCTGTCGAGGACCTTCTGGACGGTAAGCGGACTTCAAAGATATTCTTTTCTAACCACCATCCGACCATGTCCACTCCAGTACCGCGGTTTGGGGTTCACGAATCAATTTACCATTCTGTTGCGGCCCCGTGCTCTTGGTTTCTCTGAGAGTTGTCTCGTCCTAAGTGCAATCAAAGGATCTTGCACCATTCTGGAAATTAAGTAATGAGAATGATTTTTTGATTTGTTATTCAAATATATTCAGGATTTTTAACGTGAGCCGTGGCCATTGTTGTCTAAATAACCAGTTAGGTGAGAAAAAGCTTCAGCTTTAGTTGGTTACCTTATTCTCTAGCTTTCGATGAACTTTGTCATCTTCATCAGAAGAAAAGTAGGTGAGATTGTTGCTAAATGTTATTAACTTAGTTAATGAGAACACTTAGTAGCATGATGAAGGCTGGATCCAATGTAGGAGTAGTTGAAATTTGTAAAATGAATGAATTTTTGACGAAAACTAATGTACATGAAGTGAATCGTGATGATAATTAGATGATTATGAATACCTACGGTCAACACGTGTTGGATTTGGAATATTCGGATTCAAATAATGCAAATAAAACATAAGAAGTTAATCAATTGAAGCAACGTCTTGCTTAACGTGTATATAAACAACAACCCATAGAATTTTTTTTTTCTGACACGCGTATGGTTTATCTGAAGTCACTTGAAATAGCATAATAACCTTTGGTCGGTGCGTCGTTTGTAATTTCATGACGTATCATAGGCGTGCGGTTATTTATTTAGAACGATAATAATAATGTTTTTATATCACAATGAATGGATTTTACTATCTTCTTATTTTTTTGATTTGGGATAAAAAATACTTATATTGGGAGTTTAATTTATGTTGACTGAAATTTAAGAAATGGAAAAATTACAGAATTCCAACGTTTGACATAGTCAAATATTTACATAGCAGGTAGGTATATAAAAAGGTATATAAAGACTTACATTATAGGTATTTATATATCATCCTCGCCTTGGGAGCTGTCGCTAGAGTCATCTTGTAGAGGAATTACAACGGGATTTACAGGAGGCAAAACACAATATTCATTTTCTTTTTCAATAATATGCCTAGAACACTGCTTCCATAGGTCTGTGGCAGCAATATGAGATACTGCATCTCTTATTGTGGCCAATAGCGATTTACTTAATTGAGGGGTCTGATTATGTTTTCTTACTTTTTTTTTTTAAAGCAGCCCAGACCAACTCAATCGGGTTAAAAATGCAGTAATAGGGAGGTAGACGTAATACTTCATGGCCATTTTGCTGAAGCAGATTGTCAACAACATACTCTTTTTCAAATTTTTGTCTTTTAATAAGATCCAATAATATGGCTTTGGTTGATTTTTGTGGTATTTCCATTCCCTTATCCTTCATAAAATCAATTTTGTGCCTGTATTCGGAATTTTGTTTTTCTGTCGGGAATGGTATGGCGCATTGTCCATAATAATCACTGAATTTGGGGAAATGTTTGGTATTAACTGCTGCTCTATCCACTTTTCAAATAAGTCGGAGATCATGTCCTCATGATAGTCGGCACATGATTCTTTGATATTTTTGGCAGATAACAGCAAGGCATTAGGTATAAATCCATTTTCACTGCCAGCATGGAGAATAATGATTCGTTTTCGACGGTTGCATGGTGCATTTAAAATGCACTTGTTGCTGTCGTCAACCCAGCCGTACTGCACAACATCATGGGTATCATACCACGTTTCATCCAGGTAAATCAGATTTCTTTTCTGCTCTCTATAGATTTTAACTTTGTGCAAAAATTCTTGGCGCAATTCAACGATTCGACACGACTCCATAACCACCATTCTTTTATCTAATTTTTTGTATTGAAAACCACACAGTTTTACAATACAGTGCAGTGAGTCTAAGCATTTGAAATTATAAAAATCTTCAGGATAATCTTTTAATTTATCCCGTATCATTTCCAACGTGGGCACCAAATTTTCTTTATAAAATCCGTATATTATACGACGAATATCTTCCTGAAAACCCACGTCTATTCTTTTTAATTTTTGCCCTATGCGCTTTCTGTGGAAGGAATGGTTGACTACATCTCCCCTTTTTATAACCCGATAAATGGTAGACCGACTGATTTTTGTCAGGATACAAATTCTGTTTAAAATTTGATTTTGCGAGGAATCTGGATTTTCGTTTTTCAGACAATCATACATATTTAGGATTACTCTTTGGGTCTGTTCCTCTAAATCTTTATGAAAGAATTCTGCCTGCACAGGTTCATCAACCATCTCCTCGTGGCTTGGAGCATTTCCCCAAGGTCTCCAAAGAGCCATATTTATTACACACAAGAACAATCAACACAACAATTAAATCAACAAGTAAACTGAGTATTCAAAAGTCAAAAACACACAAACTAATAAAATCTATGAAAAAACACGGAAAGACTAAAGAAAACACGTTTATTCACCGCTACACGGCACTGGCTAAACTGTTTCAATTTTCAGTAGCCACCTGCACTTGTTCAGAGCTCTGAAATACACGCTTTCTCATTGGCTATGTCCACGCATAGGCGTGCTTTACTCCACGTGGACCGGTGAAACTGCCTTTGATCTTATGCGGGGGATATTTGCTGCGAAATTTGGCGATTTTTACAGCAACAGAGCGTGTTAAATATAGATATATAAAACGCACCCGGTATTTCACAGTGTTTCAAGTGACTTCAGATAAAGTATACGGGTCTGGTAATAAAGAATGAAATTCATGACTTTGTTAAAGATGTTCACAATAAAATTAAATATGGATTTAAAAACTGCTGCCTATTTTTCAAAATGCATTGGAATTTTACTGTCGGGTTCGAACTACACTGCTGTGTGTTATACCGATTTTCACAAGACAGAAAATATGATGCCCTTTGAGATTGCATCACACACATCATGTTAATAGGCGCTTTTGACAGTAAATTCGTTTGTGCTCTTTGGCATAAGAAAGAAGCATTGTATCTTGAAGCTATTCGTGGTACCAGAAACTGTATTTGTGAAAGTATTGGACATTCTATCAGACTATGCAACAATTTGTATAAAATTATAACTGCCGATTGCTTACGGCGCTGTTCTAAGAACTGAAATATATAGGGGAAAATGTATTTTGTACCTAGTTTTAAAAATTTCTTTTGAAGTTTATCAGCAGCATCAATAGATTGCTTGTGAATCGGACCCCATATCAGAGATCCATATTCGAGTTTAGAGCTAACCAAGCTGGAGTATAAAGTCTGTAAAGTCGAAGTGTTAAAATGTTTAGAATTCCTGATAACAGAGCCATAGGTTCGATAAGAGCTTGTAATAGTTTGATTAATCTGACCATTGAAGGTTAGTTTTTGATCAAAGTAGATACCAAAGGGTTGGTCTTCCTAGAAAAAGTTACTACTTTACATTTACAGTAGAACCCCGATTATCCGATATGCCACATTCTTGAGGTTAATCTAATTTAAACAATCAACGAGGTTACAACCATTATCAACTTGATCTAACATTTGCTTTAATAACAAACGTCTATAATTTCGTTTTAAATTTTCTAAAACTCCTTCATCCATTGGTTGAATCAGTGACGTTACATGAGGAGGCAAAAACATCACTCGTATTTCGGCACTTTTAAGTTGCTCCTCACTTGGGTGGCTCGTATTTTCTCAAATATCCGCGTTCATTTAAATATCGTTCTGTCTCGGGAACAAAATGATTGTAAAACCAGTCCTTGAATAGAGCGGCATCCATCCAGGCATTTTTTTGATTTTTATAGCAAAGTGGAAGAGCGTTGGGACGGACGTGTTTAAATGGTCTTGGTTTAGCTGATTTTCCAATTAACAACAACGGAAGTTGTGTTTACCGGAAGCATTGCTACAAGCAAGGACAGTCACACGTTCTTTACTGCGTTTGTAACCAGCAGCTCCAGATTCTTTTTTTGGAGCTAAACTTTTCGCCGGCAACATTTTATAATTTAGGCCAGTTTCGTCGCAATTGTAATTTTTTTCTGGATTTAAACAATACTGCTTCATTAATTCTTTAAAATGTGTCGTTTTTCATAGTTTCCGTGACGGCTGCGATGATGTCAGAACACTAGACCACTTTTCAATTTTCTCGCGTTTTTTTTCCACTCTGAAATGGACCCAAATCACTTGCCTTGTTTTTAAGCAAATCACCTCTATCTAAACGTCTGATTGCCTGAAGTTTCTGTTCTATGGTAATAACAACGCATTTACGTTTATTTCTATGCTGCTCCATCTTAGTAATTATGAACCTGACTGAAACAAACATACACGCACACATACCAGTGAATACTGAACTTATGTTAAGATGGAGTTGACTATTGATGCACCAGCTTTGTAATACATTTATCTGACCTTGAACAAAAACACAGACTTCCAAACAAGAGACGGATGAATAAAATTTCAGGTCATCTGCGAACATTAACGTAGAACCATTCAAAGATTCACACAGATCATTAACGAATACTAACGGGTGATTTTTTAAGAGGTATATGATTTGATTTTCAAAAAAAAACACAAAAAATTTGAAAAAACGATTAAATCTTTATTTGAGTCGATAGAACGGTCGATATAATTTAATGTTTAAAGATTATTTCATGTATATGTTGGCCGCGGCTCCGCTTTAGATGGCCCATGTGCAAGGTCCAATTTTGGCACACTCTCTCCAACATATCGGCCGGTATCTCACGAATAAATGCTTCAATATTGGCTTCCAGTGCGTCAATCGTTGCTGGTTTATCCCTGTAGACATTAGCCTTAACATGGCCCCACAAGAAATAGTCCAACGGCGTTAAATCACACTATCTAGGCGGCCAATTAACGGGCCCCAAACGTGAGATAAACTGTTCACCGAACTCGCCTCTCAATAGGGCCATTGTTTCGTGTGCGGTGTGGCATGTGGCACCGTCTTGTTGAAACCACATGTCAGCCAAGTCCAGCTCTTCCATTTTGGACAAAAAAAAGTTTGTTATCATCGCACGGTAGCGCTCGCCATTCACAGTTACGTTCTGGCCATTGTCGTCTTTCCACACCAAACAGTGATTTTTTCGGGATGCATTGGTAGCTCTTGCAATGCTTCTGGCTGGTCTTCACTCCAGATGTGGCAATTTTGCTTGTTTACACGTACCCATTCAACCAGAAATGAGCTTCGTCGCTGAACACAATTTTTTCATAAAAATGTGGATCTTCCTCCAACTTTGCAGCGCGCTTTCACCAAATGGGAAACGTTGTGGGAGGGCGTGTGGCTTCAATTCTTGCACCAGCTGTATCTTATAAGGTTTTACACCCAAATCCTGTCGCAAAATTTTCCACGTAGTGGAGTAACAGAGGTCCAATTGCTGCGAACGGCGGCGAATCGACATTTCACGGTCATCACTAACACTGGCGAATACAGCCGCAATATTTTCTTCAGTCCTCACTCTACGTCTGCGTGTTGGTGGTTTATTGTCCAATAATGTAAATTGGGTTCGAAATTTAGTCACAATAGCTCCCTCAGTAGGCCGACCAAATTTCCCACAAATTGGAAGCAGTGCTCGATGCACTATCTTAACCGAGCATGAATTTTGATAGTAAAATTCAATAATTTGCAAGCGTTGTTCGTTCGTAAGTCGATTCATGGTTAAATTATAGACCAAACTGAACAAGTTTTACAATGACACAAGACACGATTCACGCGTCATCTGTCAAAAACAGTGCTGCCAAAAAGATACTAGCAAAAAAATCACCCATTATAAATGACAACGGTCCTAAATTCGACCCCTGTGGAACACCACTGGTTGAAACATAAACATGTGATGTGAAGCCATTATAAAAAACGTACTGTTTCCTTTCACAGATATAAGGTGTTAAGAAAGCTAAATAAGAGTTGCTGAAGCCTATGTACTCAACTCAGGGTAACTCATGTACGTGCTGTGGGCTGACCTCCGATCAGAGGGTAGACCTCAAATTTTCGTTTTCGTTCAAAAATAGATATCACTACTATCGTAATTGACGTTGGATATGCGGTTGCTCAACAACTGGCTCTTTGAAAAACGTTTTGTTTTTAAAGCGACTTCTCCTAGACTGTTACCAAAACCAGATGTGAAAAATCTTATTAAAAAAAGTTTATTTTGAACCTCCAAAATATAATTTTTTGCTTATTTTAGGTATTTTATTTAAACTATTTTCAAATTAAGGTAAACATTCCTGGACTGAGCGTCTGGGGCACTTGATATACCTAATCGTCTTATGCTATGACTAATCCAAGCCGTCCGAAAAAACAGTCCACGTTTCTAGATGTTCGGAAAATGTTTGATCTTTTTTGGCAATGAATGTTAACAATTCCCTTGTAATTTCCTCTATTGTCAGAGTCATCCCCTTCGAAACGAACGGTAATTCCTGTTTTGCCAAAAAACATACGGTATCTAGAAGTGTGCTGCCTAAAAGCTTGTTTAAGACAACTTTCGATTCTTGTTCTGTCAAACTGAATTAAACTGGCTACACATCTCACATGTAACGGAGCAATTTCATGTCTCCTCTTTAGAGCCCTAAAACTATTTCAATCGTTGACTCCGCTGCTGGTCCACCCATTTTTTTCTGTATAAAACAGAGTTTCCATATACCAACGTAATTAAAAATATCAAAGTACGTTTTTTTATTCCTTTTTAAAATTATCTAAAGTAGGTGTTGGTCTTCCAAATCAAAAAATGGCAAAACCTAGACACGATAGTGCGCATTATTTCCGTAGGGATAATTTGCTATTTACTCAATTACTATTACATACCGCTGTTGGTAAACAAATAAATGAAATTATTTCACAGCAACTTATATTTATTTTTAAGATTTTAAACTGTTACCAATGGTAACAATGGTTACATGGACGCTTCGCCACTGGTTTTCAGTATGCATTTGGATTTTTACAGACGTTTTTCGGCTAACCTGTTCACACCCGATTTCCCGATTATCTACAAAAAATGCAATTTAAATATCGGTACCGGGAAAAGTCCTGTGTTAGATTGCATCATCTTGAAGTATGTGAAAATTTCAATGTATGTCGCCTGACCCTATAATCAAAAGACGTATTGCTAAGGTGCATTGTATCCAATTAGCACCATAGAACTCCATATTTCTGACAGTGCTCGCTGTGAAAATTTGCAATTGTAATGAATAAATGAGTATCTCTGACGTAAAACCATCCATAATCAAACTCTGGTGACAGCTGCAGTAACAAAATATCTTTGAATATCGTGCTCTGACAGTAAACATAACCTTGCAACGTTCGTTAAAAACTTTGGATAAAACTTTACCTACTATCTGTCACTGGGGGAGCACAATAATAACCCTTGCGACTAGGGGACAACTAGGGAAAGGAATACTAAGGCCCTTGTGATAAAAAAATAAAGAAGATGGTTCATATGGTAATCGATTACCGGCTCTTAATACCTCTGTCACTAAACCTGTTTAGAAAGTTTAGAATAGCTCATATATCTGAAATTTCATTTAATTTAGGTAATATGTAATATTTCTTATCTGCTCCATTTGTATCTTTTTCAATGCTTTCCTTACTACAACGGGATTCCTACATGGTGAGTATAACATTATTCTCTTTTTCCGAGTCAAACAGCTAGATATAATTAGGACTTTTATTGCAAATAATATATTTTATTTCAAAACTAAATATCCCAGTTTTCATTCATTGAACACAAACAAAAATGAATGGTCCAGGTAGCATCCGCATCCGCTAGGAAAAATATTCTGATTTACTTTTTTCGCCTAAGCTTATCCAAAAAGGACCCTTAACGAATCCTTATGTTGTCAGACCCAAAATTGTTCGAAAGTTGCTTGGACAATTTTTTATTTATTTTGAACCCAAAGGTTCCTATGAACTTTTCTCTAAAGTTGATGATCTTCGAGATACTCGCAAAAGTGATTTAATATTTGAAAAAGTGCAGTTTACGTCATTTTTCACCTAGAAAAACAATATGAAAAAACGAAAATGAGGTCGAAGTTTATAAATATTATTCAAACGTTATAAAATCGCAAAGCCTTTTAAGGGATATATTCTGCGTGAGCCCGAGAGAGGTGCAGCCTCCCCTATGCTGCTGTATAGAATATATACTAAGTGACATATAAATCCGAACACCCAGTTTAAATGGTTTTATTTTAATAAAATTTTGTATAAGTACTTAATGAAGCATAATAAGTAAATGATAAAAATTTCAAAATGATTGCACTGCTTTAAAGCCCTTTGACCTTTAATAATGTGTGGATGCACCCTGATGTGCTACGCATTCTCCAACGCGCCTAGGCATGCTTCTGATCAGGTGGTCAGTGTCCTCCTGTGGTATCTCATTCCAGGCAACCACAAACTCCTCTTGAAGTGCTTCTAGAGTCTGAGGAGGGTGTTGCAAATTGAGCAATCTCCTACCCATCATATCCCACACGTGCTCAATTGGGGATAAGTCGGGAGATCTTGGTGGCCATGGTAACAATGTGACATCATTATGTTGAAAGAAGTCTATTGTGACTCTTGCAACATGTGGTCGGGCATTATCTTGTTGGAAAGTTGGATCTGCCAGGGTGTCAAGATAGGGTAAAAGATGGGGTTCTAGAACATCGTGGATATAACGCTGCGCGTTCATGTTACCTCTGATGAAGATTAAAGGTGACCTGGAACCATAAGCTATAGCACCCCAAACCATAACTCCAACAGTGTGATGAACATGTCTTTTAACAAAAAACTGTGGATTCCTCCTTTCACCATGTCGGCTTCTAACCCTGGCACGACCATCGTGCATGCCTAAACAAAATCGAGACTCGTCACTAAAGACAATACTGTTCCATTCCTGATACCAGAGTGACCGTTGTCTGCACCACTCAAGGCGATTACGTCGGTGTTCTCGAGTTAAAGGGAGGACCCAGTGTGGCCGGTATGAAAACAAGCAAAACTTCTCATTCGTCGGTAAACACTTCGCATGCCAATAGGTCTTCCGTGTTCTGCAAACCATTTATTTGCAATGGACCTGGTAGTGGAGAAACGGTCCCTTAAGGCCAATAATCTTAGGCGGCGATCTTCACGGTCTGTTGTTCTACGGCGGCGTCCAGTGCCCCTTGTTCTTTGCGTACGGCCTTCTAGAAGCCATGCCTGACAACACCTAACCACAGTGTCTACACTTCTTTGCACTCTAACTGCAATTGCCCGAAAAGAAAGTCCAGCTTCCCGAAGTCCCACTATACGGTCCCTATCAAACTCACTAAGTTGACGAAATCGTACAGGTCTCCGTACTGTAGGCATCGTAACCGATCGTAAAGGATGTCAAGAACCAAAATCCGCCAACGTTGATTCTTTACTGCGGCTGAAATATTCATTTTTAGAGCGTTAGTGAATTAAAAAAAAACAGTATAAAAACCGGAATGTCCATCTGATAAGGCTGAAAATTTTTTCACTTGTTATTTACAGTAAGATAAATACATTCACCAACTTTTATTAAAATAAAACCATTTAAACCGGGTGTTCGGATTTATATGTCACTTAGTATAGTTCACACGAACCTTTTTTTGTTCAGAATGACGTAGAAAATCTTTAAAAACCTTGGCCGGATCGAGAACAAATTTTAATGGAAGTTTAAAAATGCATATGCAGTGTGATTTTTTTTTTTTTGCTCAATTTGGAAGATTTTTAGGATTTCCATCACCCCTCCCCTGGAGTACCCTCCGGCTCTTCAACAAATTTTTCGACGCAGATACACTGCTACTCTTCAAAAAAGTTCTGGGTGCAAGACACTTTTACAAAAAATTATCTCTTGGCAAGATACCCCCATCCCCGCCGAGATAAATTCCTGCGGTCCTTTTTGATTAAGATTATGCGAAAAACGAGTCCGAATATGCCTGTACAGATGGGAGTTTAAATCTGGGACGAAATTACCTTTTATATTTTTAAAATTTGACAGGAATTTTTTTCCAGGTTATGCGGATACTTCGCCATTGTCTGCTCTGCAAAAATGTGCAAAAGATGTGGGAGACGATGATGTTTTTATGGTAAGATATTTTGGTCTCTCTTAGTGCGGTGGTTTAGACGCGAACATCCACCGAACACAGCACTTTTTTTATTTAGATGATATTTTGCATGGAGTAGGCACTCACCAATACCTTACATATAAAAAGTGGTGTTGTGTAGCCCGCAGGAGGAAGTCGTGGTTTTCTAGTTTACTACAGTACTGCTAATATACTGGATCCTAAAAAATGCTAAAATCGTGCAAAATCACGGCTCGAATAACATTAAATATATATACAGCAAAATAGAAAAAATCGCGCATTTTGACCTAAGAGAAATGCAACCCTCTTTAGTCAGTATCAGCAAATGGTGGCACTTAGGTAACACTTTGCAAAAGTGAGGTATTAGACACTACTATCTTCTTGATGAGTCTCATTTCGGTAAAACAAATTTGAGCGCTCGTAATAAAGGCGCTGAGGGCGGACCCTGTTCTCTTGCTTTTTCCAGATTTCTTGAAAAAATGTCCCAGAAAATGTGGGTAATCCGTTTTAATTCAGTTCGGTGGTCTTTGACTAAATACTTGGATAGTATTGACAACAAATTAAAGCCAAAATATGAGAGAAAGACTGTTAGAAACGTCTAAATACATTAAAAGATAAAACAATCACGGATTTGCACCTGCAAGATGCAGCCTGTAGTTTAAACCCTCATCCAGTGCTACCCGGGAACCACTTTTTATATGTAAGCTATTGATAAGTGCTTCCCCCATGTTAAGTTTCATTTCGGTAAAAAATGTACAGTGTGGGATCCCTTAACCACCGCACCATTTTGACTCACATATAGGATACAGTTTCATCCTTGAAGATTTTTATAAATTTGGCGCCAAAATTATAAGATATTTAAGGATAACCTCATATTTATTTACCAATCTAAATTGTTGTCTGAAACTAGATCCCGTGAAAGATGTACACAACGTTTGGAATGGTCTTCAGTTTCGCTTCACCTGAATACCAGCGAAGATAACGAATTAATCGCAACGTCAAGTGTCGTGTAACTCAAAGTTGTATGGACAACAGAAATCGGAAAAAATTGGAGCGTTGTCACTCCAAGTTTTAATACGTGGGATCTGTCTTCTGGTCCATAAACCGTTGACCACCTGTCGCTTGTAGCTTCGACGCATTTTTATAGAGTGCACATCTCTCCGCAGCCAGCAATTGGCGGGATACCAGCTACCACCGGCAGTACATTGGTCGACACCGTTCTGCTCCACGCGCAGCACTACTTTTCAGCGCTTTTATACCAAATAGCAGTAACTATCGGACTACTTTGTCAGTTTGACAGTAGTTTTCACTTGGGTAGTATGTTGCTTGGAGCCTGTATACCGGAAGAAGCTGTTACGACTCCGGAACTTGACTTGCCTGGAGTACCAGCGGTGTTTTGACACTTGGGGGATTTTTCCACAAAATTGATTTTGTTTTCCCCCAAATTTAATTTAGTGTTTCGATAGACCGTACCTCCTGGATAGAGGATAGTTGCGATGCTTTCGTTCATTGCCCCAGAGATGAGAGACCAAGCCTACATCATGCTGATGAGTAGCCAGGAAGCACGATACAGCTGTTGATGGTTGACTGTCCTTTGGTCGGAATGAAAACAACATGTTCAGCTCATACTCTTAGTTAGGACTAAAATTATACGTATATTCACCTGACGACATAAAGGAGCTTTGAGAATAATTAGAATCACAAACAAAATTAGAAGAATGGATGTTTTCTTTGACAAGGCCAAACGTACACATATTAATAGTAAATCTGAACACGAAATATTTTTTTGATTAGTTGTATTTTTATTCATATTTCAATATTATGCACAATTCATAATAATAATAATAAGCTTTTGTTGCTTATGTAAGTACAGAAAAAATACATAATTCTGATGCAATGTGTAAGCGGCAACGGTCGCTTGATTGACAACCATGAGTTGTCAATGCGAGCTGTTCCACCTAACCAAAAACCATTAGTGGTCCGTGTACCCTTAAGGCAATACCTCCTAAGAACCCTTGTTTGATACTCATTCTTTATACAGGGTGTCCGCATAGTTGGGGTTTTCCTTTACACGACGTGTAGATCTTGAAAACATAAGCAATTTTTCTTAGTACCATATACACCAATGTCTTAAGGGAACTGAGATGAAGGGCTCTGCAACATCAAAAATATCTGAATACCGTCCTGTAGCCGCGACCCCCGACATCACCGAGTGGTACAAGGTCACTGGCTCAACCCGACGACAGAACTGGATCGGGGTCAGTGTATCAGGTCAGTATGCAACCTTCAACCGACGGTTACGGCCACGCGTGTAGAGGTAATCGCGTAGACGAGAATCCCTCAACAAGCACTAGAGACGTGGCTACCGAAGTGCAAGTATCAAAAACTAAAGTGTGGCAAACGCTGCGTGAAGAGGGGCTGTATCCGTTTCACGTCCGTGTACAAGCCCTTCAACCTGACGATTTTCCAGCAAGAGTGCGGTTTTGTGAGTGCTTGTTCCATCAACATGACAATAATCCGGACTTTTTGAAGTGCATATTGGTGACAGACGAATCTACGTTCACGCGTAGTGGGGTGAATAACTTTCGCAACACTCATGTTTGGTCAGTAGAAAATCCGCACGCTGTCCGTCGGCCACATTTTCAACAAACATTTTCGGTGAATGCTTGGGCTGGCATGGTGAACGGTATGCTCATTGGACCATTTATTCTCCCAAATCGATTGGACGGGATGCAATACCTAGACTTTTTACGCAACATTTTGCCTTCCTTGTTAGAAGATGTGCCATTAAGTGTAAGACAATCAATGTGGTTTCTGCACGATGGTGCACCGCCCCATTTTAGAAGCGAAGTGCGTGAGTTTTTGAATGAATTATTTCCGAATAGGTGGATCGGACGTAATGGACCCGTAGCGTGGCCTCCGCGATCTCCAGACTTAACACCATGTGATTTTTTTCTTTGGGGAGAAATGAAACGCTTAGTGTACAAAACTGAAGTGCATACGGTTGACGAACTTCGTCTCAGAATTGAACAAGCTGGTGCTTTCATTCGGGGGAGGGACTCCATTCTCAAAGCCTGCACCGATGCTTGGCTACGTCGTGCGCGCACCTGTGTTTTTGAATCAAACGGCGCTAACTTCGAACAATACCTATAAAGTACGTTTACCTAAAAACTGAAAACGCGGCAACGCCGTCGTATTGTAACCTATGTTCGTGGGATTTCATTTTCTGTTGGAGCGGTATGATTTCGGGCAGAGGCGTACTTAGCCCTTCTCGTCAACTGGAGAGTGAGTACTTTTTCCTTTATTTTTTTTACTTGGTCGCCCTCGTTTCACTACACATTACCTTTGTTATTTCAAGGGTAGTTGTTTCTGAAAAGGAAAACCCCAACTTTGCGGACACCCGTATTGTGTTTTTGGAGTAAATAAATATTATTATTATTAATGCTGTTTCATGTCAGGTAATGATTCATGTCGTCTTGAAACTAATTGGTTGAAGCAAGCTTAATCGAAACAATGCGTATTCCTTAAAAAAATGCGCATTCTTCTTCGGAAAAGGCAAACTCGTCCTTGAACGATTCATTTTTAAATGTATGCATGATTAGTTCATATTATGCATTGTGGTCAACCATTGTCATTAATTAGAATACACTGTAACATGATAGCCGCCTTCGTTAAGCAATATAGTTATTCAGTTATGTGAAGTGGCTATAAGCTAATCACTATTGATTTTTTATCACCTAACTAGTGATTTTTCACATTGACCATTTTATCCACCGAAAAATTGTGATAGTACATCATGAAATACGTGAGTAACTTTCTTCTACAACAATTTTTTTCGTTATTATCGATTCATTCGTTTTGCAGTCTCATTTTTCGTTTTGAAGTCTCAATTTTATTTGCATCTTGATATTACCATTTGAAGCATTATTCAGTTCCCATTTGCATACTTCACACGTATTCAAGAATCTTGCGTTGTTGATTTTCTTGCCGAATTGGATGTTGAATAATTTTTATCAGATTGAAGCATATATTTCGGATATACGACGTATTGGGTCAATTTTTCAAACAACAAGGCTGCATAACACTTTGAAAACTCATAAGTTTTTTGACACCATGTATGAAATAACTAATTTCCAGAGCAAACAGGTCTTAAAAAATACAACCGAGAATTGAAGAAATAGGAGAAAGTTGTGGTCCTTGTCCCGAACACCCTATACAGGGTGATTCACAAGTCGTGTCCAAAAATGAAACGTCATATACATTCCGCATTCTAAGGGGGTCATTAAAAACATTTTTTTAATATTTTCAAAACCGTCAACTGGAATAAACTAAAATTTGGTATGTGGATTTAATTAAGTATTGTCCACATTCAAGAGTCTTTACTTAAAGTTAACGTGCACCAGTGTCGGAGCTACACGGGATTAGTGGCATTATTTTTCCAAATAAAAATAGTACTCCACAATTTTTTTTTCGAAACGCGCTATTTTTGAATTTTACTTTCAATTTGCTACCAATAATTACTACAAATAGAATAAAACAAATTGGATCATCCATGAAGAGCCAAGGTATACTTAGTTTCAAAATCTAATTTGTTTTTTTTCATTTTTACGAAAACAATGCACACTAGGAAAAAACACGAGTAATTTAATTAGCAAATTGAAGGTAAAATTCAAAAAATTGCGCGTTTCGAAAAAAAACGGTGGTGTACTATTTTTATTTGGAAAAATTTTGCCACTAATCCCCTGTACCTCCGCCGTGCACGTTAATTTAAAGTAAAGACTTTTGAATGTGAACAATCCACGTACCAAATTTTAGTTCATGATAAATGAATGAAGTAATTAACTCCCAGAGCAATCTTCCCTTAAAGAATACAACCGAAAATTAAAAAAATAGGAGAATGTTGTGGTCCTTATCCCGAACACCCTATATGTTTATTACATATTTTAAGAAACTTTCAAGCGATAATTTTGGTGGAAAATTTGAACAATTGTAACAAAATATTGTCTATAACCAATATCAACCCTATTTGAGAAGAAAAAAGAATCAAACTATACTAAGTGACATATAAATCCGAACACCCAGTTTAAATCGTTTTATTTTAATAAAATTTTGTATAAGTACTTAATGAAGCATAATAAGTAAATGATAAAAATTTCAAAATGATTGCACTGCTTTAAAGCCCTTTGACCTTTAATAATGTGTGGATGCACCCTGATGTGTTACGCATTCTCCAACGCGCCTAGGCATGCTTCTGATCAGGTGGTCGATGTCCTCCTGTGGTATCTCATTCCAGTCAACCACCAACTCCTCTCGAAGTGCTTCTAGAGTCTGAGGAGGACATTGCAAATTGAGCAATCTCCTACCTATCATATCCCACACGTGCTCAATTGGGGATAAGTCGGGAGATCTTGGTGGCCATGGTAAAAATGTGACATCATTATGTTGAAAGAAGTCTATTGTGACTCTTGCAACATGTGGTCGGGCATTATCTTGTTGGAAAGTTGGATCTGCCAGGGTGTCAAGATAGGGTAAAAGATGGGGTTCTAGAACTTCGTGGATATAACGCTGCGCGTTCATGTTACCTCTGATGAAGATTAAAGGTGACCTGGAAACATAAGCTATAGGACCTCAAACCATAACTCCAACAGTGTGATGAACATGTCTTTCAACAAAAAACTGTGGATTCCTCCTTTCACCACGTCGCCTTCTAACCCTGGCACGACCATCGTGCATGCCTAAACAAAATCGAGACTCGTCACTAAAGACAATACTGTTCCATTCCTGATCCCAGAGTGACCGTTGTCTGCACCACTCAAGGCGATTACGTCGGTGTTCTCGAGTTAAAGGAAGGACCCAGTGTGGCCGGTATGAAAACAAGCCAAAACTTCTCATTCGTCGGTGAACACTTCGCATGCCAATAGGTCTTCCGTGTTCTGCAAACCATTCATTTACAATGGACCTGGTAGTGGAGAAACGGTCCCTTAAGGCCAATAATCTTAGGCGGCGATCTTCACGGTCTGTTGTTCTACGGCGGCGTCCAGTACCCCTTGCTCTTTGCGTACGGGCTTCTCGAAGCCCTGCCTGATAACACCTAACCACAGTGTCTACACTTCTTTGCACTCTAACTGCAATTGCCCGAAAAGAAAGTCCAGCTTCCCGAAGTCCCACTATACGGCCCCTATCAAACTCACTAAGTTGACGAAATCGTACAGGTCTCCGTACTCTAGGCATCGTAACCGATCGTAAAAGATGTCAAGAACCAAAATCCGCAGTATAAAAACCGGAATGTCCAACTGATAAGGCTGAAAATTTTTTCACTTGTTATTTACAGTAAGATAAATACATTCACCAACTTTTATTAAAATAAAACCATTTAAACTGGGTGTTCGGGCTTATATGTCACTTAGTATATCTACATAGCCTCTCTTAGTTTAAGAGAAGTTAAGTGCATTTACAAGTTATTTTGTTCGGTGTAAAACTAACTTAAATACGGTGTGTTCGCAGACACTGGACCTGCCACAAGACCCAAAAGATTCTCGAAGCTCTAGCGACTCAAGCACAAGAGGCTCGGAACATCTGCACCGAATTGCCTACATTGGAAGGGACAAACCTCTGGAACCTCAACCAACACTCCTGGACCACCATAAAGGTAATTCTATGTTCAAGTTTCAAACCTCATTTAATTTAGAAAAAAACAAGTTTGTGAAATGTTCATTTTTTATGACTTATTTTGTTTGTTTGTTGAAGATTTAGCATTAATGCTACACATTTTTTTTAATCCTTTTTCTGTAGTTTTACACTGTTGTCTATTAGAATTACAACAGTATGCATTTTGAGTAATCATAAAGTGATTTTTTAATTTCACCTTAAACATTTTTAAATTCGAACACTGTCTAATATCGTTATTCAATTTATTAAATCCAAATAGTCCCTTTTGAAATACAGATTTGCTAGTTATCCTACTATTACAATTTTGGAGACTAAAATTTATACTGCCTATAATTTCGTAGTTATGATAATGACTATTCAATTTTTTGAAGTTTTCTAAATTTGGTGATAATAAATGATTTTTGATTTGAATATGAAAATGAAAACTAATTTTTTACATTCAACCACTGTAGTTCTTCTAACATCAACTTAATCCTAACATATTTTTTTTTATTTAGAATGATTCTCATAGCTTTATTTTGTAGAATTTGCAATTTTGAAAATATGTTTTAATTTGCTGTAAGCAAGATGGTTTAACATTATAAGAAATGGGGAAGAATTATGTTGTAAACTTTTGTTTAATACATACTAAGTAATGTATCTTTTTTGATATTTTACTTCACTAATTCCTTCTTTTTTTGCGATTTTTCAACAGATTTTATAATCTTCTTTAACTGCTTTTCAACTCGTCTATATTTTTGGGGATGAGTATTTAGTTCAGTTCAGAGTTTTTTTATTGGCTGTCGAGAATATTAAAAAATTTGTGTAATAACATTCTTATTTTTTAATTTTTTTTATCTTTTACTATTTCTTTTATTATGCATCTTTTATATAGGTAATTTCTGGTATATCAACTCCTTTTGACGAGTCTTACAAGCAGTTAAAATAAATGACTCAAATTTGAACACCTGTATAAAGTGATAAGTATAAAATTATTCCGAGTCAAATCATTCATTTTGATGGATATGACACTTGCTTCCAAGTATAAGTATTTCATCTAATATTCTGTTTTGATTCCACGATAGTGAGACAGTAAATGTAATCTTATCTGCTTTAACCCGAAATAGTAGTTTACTTTAGAAAATTATACATGGGCAGATATAAAACGATATCAAGTGATTTGTTTTGGGAGTATTCAAATATTGATTGATAATGTCAACATAGCTTGTTTGGGCTGACATTTCTACAGAACACACAAAAAATCTGCATGCATGCACGATCTGTTACATTCGTCCTCATCAAGAAAAAAAACCTGAAATACAGCTCCGCCACATTTTTCATTTTCAAATTAAGAGGGTGCTCCTTGTATATGGCACTAATAATCTAATAAAGTAATTGGCAAGGAATGGCTATTTTTATTGATTCATTTGGTCAGAACATGTTGGACTGTCTCCCTGCAAAGATTTTCCTTCTCTTCGTTCGGTATTCGATTCGAAATGCCACTTCAGTGTTTCTCACATACACCTTAGGAAAAACCATTGTTATACATGTGAAATCATTTCTTGGCAACAGCGCATCGGCTCGTCTACTTTCATCGCTATTCGTACATATTTCCTACCGTTAACCGCAGACCTGTATCACGAATGAGAATAATAGGCAGATACGCTGTGTTGCCAATTTGAGTAGAGCTTCCCGAATTGTGGGGAATTTAGAGTTAAGTGTTGATTCATTCAAGCTTTTAATCAGCATGGCCTAGACGTTAGAACTTCATAAAGATAATATTGAAGCTGAATGCTGCTGGAGTATAGTGTTTCGAATATTCAAAGCGGAGCGGGACACTATACTCGTTCAATGGGTCATCAAGCCACAGTCTTTTCAAGAAATTATTTTACGAAAATGCGTTGTATTTTTACGATTTTGTCGTCACCAAATCTCTGTTTCTCAAAATGTACGTCTATTGTAGAATTTTCAGCAAACTAAGCAAGAAACGTGATCTAGTATTTACTCAACATTACGGATTTCTCGAAATACATTAAAATATGTGACCTAGATACCTAACTGCCCCAAGCTCTTTAAATATAACACCTTAAACCAGGGTTACCAGGTGCTCAGTCACGTTGATTGTCATGTTGTACTGCGCAAGTCAGCAAACAATCTGGCGTAATAAACGTTAGGAATCATCAGGTATCCCGAATACCGGGCACCATAGTACCCGTTATAGTTGTCCTTCAAAGTTGTCAAATCGCCCCTATGGCGCAAATTCGTCACACCAGGCAACTGTGCTATAAACAAACCCTGTTTATCACTACTATTTGATAGTCATATGGTAGTTGTAGCCCTATCTAGCGGTCCATGATTTCTCTCAATACTGTTGTATCTCTACTGGCAACAAGAATAGGGATTACAAAATCATTTATACAACAATATACAAACATGAAAAATATGATTTGAACCATGAAACATTAATGCAATTTTAATAGTTTGAACTTTTTTCATTTTTGGAATACTCTTATGTGGAATCCGCAGCTATTTTTCCCGAAATTTGGGTAGACTTAGATTTCTTAGAAATATGACATATTGGTATCGGCAACTCTGCGAATGAGAGAAACAAATCGCATTTGTTGAGCGCATCCGTCTAAGCGGTAGGCGCCAGCGCCCGTTCTGCCATCTCTCTCTTTTATCACTCTTCTACTTTACCCCGTTGTCCGTCACACTCCGACGCTGCCAGATGAGATCCTACAATCGAGTGTCTTTCACGCACCTACATACTTTTGTATATTTCCATCTCTCTTCCTCATCATAATGTATAATAATGGTTTTTCCCATACTGTATATGGCACTATGACTATACGCACGGCAGTGTTGCCGAACCGAAACAGGCGAAATCGGTAGACAGTGTCGTTGAAATTCGGTAGATTCAGGGACACCATACCGAAAAAATCATGGTACACGCATACACAAAACAGGGCTTCTGAAGGCATATGTTTCTAAGAAAATAGTCCTTTATTACAACTTGTACACGGTGGCCAACTAAGAATGCGAGGTACTGTATTTGGGAACCTATCCGTCGTAGAGGCATGCGACAAAAACAGTTATTACTAAAACGGTCAAGAGAAAAACCTGTAAAACATTTTCAAGTTTCTGAAATTGCCGCTAAGGGGCGTTACTGCAATCTTGAATCTAAAAAAGTGATGTTACTGTGAATTCCGCTATAGTAACCTAACAAAAAAAATGCCTGATCTTTAAATAAGGATAATTTGAACCTTTTTTGTCTGCCAATTTTTGCTGTATCTCTGAAAATAAAGTGATGGGGGCTATTCAAACGTTTTCATAAAAACAGCCTGTATCTTCGATTTTAACAAATTTGGGCTAGTTAAATAGATCTATTCTTGAGCTACACATTTTATAATATTTGAAGTTTTGTTAGTTTCAGATGTGGCCGCTAGAGGGATTTTTTCGAAATTCCGACAAAAATGATTTTTTTTTCATGAAAAAGTAGCTAAATGATGTCTAAATGAGCTCATTAAAACAGCATCTCGATATCTTGTTCCTAACCTAACATTTAAGCCAAAGATAATTTTATTCACAGAAACATCGCGTTTTTAGATGCAAGATTGCAGTTACGCCCCTAACGGTCATTTCAGAAACTTGAAAATATTTTCCCGGTTTTTCTTTAGACCGCTTTACTCAGAACATTTTTTGCCGCAAGCCTCTACGATGGATAGCTTCCCAGACACAGTACCTCTCATTCTTAGTTGGCCACCCTGTACAACTCATACTGGTCGCTCTTCAAACTCCTTTGTAACCATCATTGAAACTCCTTTTGCCATTCTTGTTTATAAGATTCTGAATATTTTCCTGTTGTGCCCCTGAACTTTAAGCCTCATCACCATTTAATTTGATATTCAATTAAATACAGAGAAGCTTTGGTTTCCTTATTGCTTGTCCGGTGATCCGTTAATGACGATGATCTACCAGTATGTACCTGTTGTACGCACAAAAGCGAATATAGAGAAAGTGGAATAAGGGATGTGCGTACCAAATAGTAGGCAACCCCTCGTGTACCCGACTGACTAAGCTTTGTTATGACTGATATGGGGCATAAAACTACGTAGACTACATGGAATCAATTTTTTTTTTTTAGTTTTTTTTCTCTCTTTTTCGGAAATATCTGGATTATTTAAAAAAATCGCGGAAAATTTCGGCAAATTTCTCATTTCGGTAGAAATGCCGAAAATCGGCAGGTTCGGCAACACTGCCGAGCAGTGACTCTTTCGCCGGTCCGCCGGTGACGATTCTCAACTCGGTACTTGAGTCAAGCTGCGTCCGGCAGATGGCGGTTGACGCCGCGAGCTTTCACAGGGCTTAGATATTTCTATGCCTTCGATGAAGCGCTACATTTTGTCAGCTTTGCGCAGTGGCAGTATCGTAACCAATGAGGTTTATCCGAGGTGCGATTATTGCTAGTTGAAAACTTTAACCAATACCCCGCCATGTGTACGTGAAATACCGTGCGCTACGGCAATTTTTGTAAGCCCCTGCGGGGGCAATATTTTAATCAAAACAAAAACAGTTACCAAAATTTCCAACATATCTTGGTTATTAAGGTATTTACATAGAAAAGGGCAAGGAACTTGGACTCGTTTTGTTTTTCTTTTCATTGATTCAAATATTCAAATGCAATTAAAAACGCTACAAGAAAAGAACTTCATGTCATGTTAATGAGATGATAAAAGAACCAGTGAACGATACCTCTGTAACCCATTGAAATATTTCTGTAAGAGATTGTAATAATTATATGAATTCGTACGATATGAGATTGTCAAAATTGAGTACATACCCCGATGTTTCGGTATTTTTACCGAAACGAGTCCTTATTTTTCCAGGATTTTTTAAATATTTCCAGATTTTCTACCGAAAAAGAACTGGAACTAATAACGTAATAACCAAGCTAAAAAAAAAGAATTCTATGCGGTTTTATGGGCCGTACCAGTCATAAATAATAGTACACTTGGGCAGTCGGGGACACAAGGGAGGTAGATTTGAGTTGCTTACAATTACGTACGGACATCCCTTATTCCGCTTTCCCTATATTGGTTTTTGTGTACAACAGATACAGACTGGTAGATCACGGGACAGCAATAAGGAAACCAAATCTCGACTGTATTATCATTTATTATTATCAATATTTAATCAAAATGTCAGGTGATGAGGCTTCATGATTAGGGGTGAAACAGAAATCAATGTTTCGAAGTTTTTGATACATCCATGTATCGTTGCCATGCCTAACCATACGACCCTCAATTTCCACCGCTTTTTACTGCAGAAGCTTTGGTCATATACCAGTACTGCCCAATCTGCCATTCTGAGCCTTTAGTTCCCATTCTAGCGAAAAAAATTGATTTCTACCGTTTTTTTATCGCACAAATTTCGATCATAATCCTGCAGACTTACCATTTTTCAATGAAAACTGAATTTTTGCAATATTTTTGGAGCTAGAAGCACTCCCTCCCTCCAATTGATTATCGACTCTTGCACTGTTATTTTTCTAATCTACCGCTTTTTAAAAAAACATTGTATATGCCCATCCTAAACATCCAGGCCTACCACTTTTCACATTAAAACAGCTTTTATTTAATAATAAAGATAGCCAGACACAGTTCATTGTTTTTCAAAATGCCTTTGAAAAAATCAATCATCGTTTATTTATGAGGCATCCAATGTTGATTGTTCAAAGTTTTAAGATTGCTCTATCTTTACCAAGAACGGCACGGCGAAGCACAGTTAACAGGTATCGATTTTAGAATGTAACATTGACGTCATTGAACGCACGTGTTCTCCATGTCCTATCTCACCTTCCCTGAAAAAGGCTTCTCAAATTAACTACGCTTCCAATTATATTTGATATGGCGATTCTGATTCGCAGTGACAATTTTAAAAGAGAGCGATATTCATAATTCATTTTAATTAGCGTTACTTGTGATTCTTTTGATTTTTATCGTAAACTTTCCTTTGATACTTAACTTTCAATGAGAACAGACACTTATTTGTCTGTACTTATCGAAGTAAAATTAGTAGAATTAATATTCCAACGAAACCAGTGATGTGCATAGTAAAAGTTTAATGATGTCGTAATGAGGTCCCATAGCTTTCTTCACATGCCATCTAGTGTTTCCAATATGATGTTTACAGATTTTCATAAGAATATTTCGGGATTTTGCCTCAAGTATTCAAACCTAAATATATCTAAAACGAGAGATCTGACAAAAATGCCTAGTGACAAAATTTACGGATAATTTAATGGTATTTTATAAAATGCACGTCTTTTCTCCGAAAGGGCCAGCGGCTTAGAAAATATTTCCTATTAGGTGTACAGGTACCCCAGTTTCTATTCTGTAGTTTAGTTTGGGCTGGAGAAACTCTGGGTGTTTATGGGTCACTGAATATCTAAAATCCCAACTCGGTATCTTTACCCACTCCGTAGATTTTTTTAAATTTCGTCAGTAAAACTTCATCACCCTGTATCTCTAGAGGAGCATCTTTGGACTCATATATTTAAAGAGACTTTTTTGTTATTTTTAGATGTAGTTTCTATCCTAGAAATATTGGCACGACTTCCTGAAACACTTTGTATATCCCGGATTTGGATTCAACGTCGAGAAATATATGATAATATCTTGTTTCAGCATTTGGCATCCGTAATTCGATTCTCATCTCTTCTATGAGTAGTTTTTGGGCCCCTTTTAGGGCCGTATCGTCAGTCGTTCCTACAATTGCAGGATGGCTTCATGGCCTCCTTGATTTTCATAGTCTTTTCCTACAAAAAGATTGGGGTATTTATAAATGTCTACTGTTCCGTGTCAATGTCAGCGCTCTCTTATTGTGAGGTTATGTTTTCTTTTCATAATTTAGGAAATTTCAGACTGATATAACATATGATATAAATCAAAAGCAGGATCAATGTGATGGAAATAGATATTTGTAATATAACCTCAAAATAGAGAGCTGACACGGAACAGTAGGAAACTATAAAAATCAAGGAGGCCATATAGGCATCCTATAATTATTGTAAGAACGACTGACGATACGGCTCTAGGAACATTTCTGATTGCGGATTCGGAAAAATTACATAGGAATATCATGGCTTATGTCACACAGACCGCGACCCTTATTTTTTTTTGTGCGACTGTAAAATTGATTCTCAAAGTGACGAAATAAGTTTGAAAACTTCTGGTGTATACCATCAAAACACAAATTAACAAAATTAAATTAGAAAAAATATCAATAATAAATCTTTCAACAACCAAAACACAAATTAACAAAATTAAATTAGAAAAAATATCATTAATACATCTTTCAACAACAAGTATTTGAAAAATAAATTACATATAAAGTCTCTAAATCTATTGCACTATTCTGCCAAAATGATAATATTACTCCGAAATATTAAAAATATTTCTAATATGTAATCCTTTCGTACTAAAATATTTATTTCAATTAAAGATAGAAACCCACCTGGCTCACACCGGCTTAAACTTAGATCCTGTATCGTTTTAAAGGTCGAACAGACCTAATAGCTTCTCCACCAAAAATATATTTTAATCGAACTTCAAGGTCATAAGCTTTATCTTCGATAAGAACCTTCTGATAATATTAGGCTGCTATCCCTAAGGTAATTTAATCTCATGATTATTAATATTACATCAAAATACTTCACTAATTTGTGATTTTTACAAAAAGAAAAGCTAATTTAATTTTATAATCACCCCAATAATTAGTGAAGTTAAAAATTTCTATAAAAAAAATTATGAATTATAGAAAACTCTACAGGGTCTTCTATTCTAGTCTTTCAAATAAATTCAGCTGTTTCATCAAAAAATAAATTTTTATTTAATTTAACTAGAGACAGAATCTTTTTATCGAACCATTAATTTAATTTTTGAATCATCCCAATAAACTTAAAGATCTCTATACAAAAAAAATAATAAATATAAAATTCTATAGGGTCTTCTCGTCTTTTAAATGAATTTTGAAAGTTTTATAAAAAAATAATTTTTTAATTACCCCAATAATTGAAGGGTCGGCCGGAACAAGGTTGTATATAACATTTTTCTATAAAATGAGATTTCCGTAAAACAACGTAGTATGTGCCTGTTGGGACCCGTTGACAACATAGACCCACCAGTTTACTCGCATCAATCACTGTGACGCGAATTTGTAAAGCGCGCCATTTCAGTCTTCCGCGTAACAACGTTGTATGTACGTAAACAAAAAAGAATATCTATGGTTTATGAACGATTCCAGTGGGTCGATGTCATTGCTAAAGCCAAAGTTAAAAATCTTTTTAAAGTTGTCTGGTCGCACCAAGCCTTCTTTGAGAATTTAACAGCTTTGGAATGTTGTATATGGAAATACCCCAAATGTAAAATTACACAAGGATTGTGGCTGCAACTTACCGCTGATTCTCCAGCTACTTTGAGTATCAGAAAATCTCAAAATATTATGCAGCCCTGGAATTCATTTCCCATAAGCAATCGTAAAAGAAAAGAAACAATGACTTTTGCCACTGAAATCATATCATCTGAAAAATTACCTATAATGTCTCAGAACCTTCTTCCAATCAAAAATGAAAAATTAAAAAACCTTAAGTATGTAACATTTTATGAGAAATTAACTGCAACCCAGTAATATTTATTTAAGTTTCAGTTTTGGTTTCGAAACACGTTGATGAACTTAGAACGTGTTTTTTGTTATTAAAAATATGTTACTGTGTACTTTGGTTCCATTAATAAATAGAACTGCTGAAAATACTTGTTTTGCTTATAGTCATTTAAAGCCTCCCTGTAACAACGTTGTAAGTAACGCGATCATACAACCATGTTACATGCGTTTTCCATAAAAAGGGTTCCCATAGTTGCAAAATAGGTATCACATGTTTAAATTACAATAACCTTGTATAACTATTCTTCCTTTATTGTGCTGGCCAACTATAGACGCAGTCATTTGAAAAAAATGGTTTAAATTTGTTTTTCTTAATGTCGGCCACTGAGCTGTTTTGTTACATACAACGTTGTTCCGGCCGACCCTTCAATTAGTAAAATTAAAAATGTCTATACCAAAAGATTAATAAATATTAAACTCTAGTCTTTCACATGATTTTTTTTACTAAAAAATATTTTTTTTAAATTTAATTAGAGCCAGAATTTTTCTGTCCAACCGTTAAATTATCTCAGGATAATCAACCTATTTGACATCGACCGATTGCATTCCAGAGAGCGGCGGTGTGCCCGGCGGGGGCGGAAGCGGAGGCGGCGAGAGCTACCCGTACGTCCAACTGACGGCCGTGCACGAGTACATCTACCCGGCCGAGGACCCGCAAAAACCGCCACTCGTCAGGCGAGACTCCGGATCCAGCGTGAAGAAAGGGGGCGCCGCCATCATGGAGTTGAACCCGCAACAGCAGCCACCGCTGCCCATCAAGGGAGCGACGCATAAAAAGATCAAGATTAGGTAAGCATTTCTTTCACTTGCGGTTGGTATGAAATCCAAATCGGATAGACCTTTATTTTGCAAGAGATGGCTGTACAGAAATGGCCTAAAAATGGTAATACTGGGGACACTAGAAAAGAGATCTACCTAGTCCCTGAAACAAAGACGTGCGATTTTTTTTATTTTTTTTTTCAATATTATCCCCCATACATTAATGCGCTTGCGCCATTTCTCCTACTCCTTATAAAAAAATGCTTCCTCTTGACTCTCAAAAAAGAGTCGTAGACGGATGCTTTCATTCCATCATCTGAGTCACAACGGCTTCCTTGAAAATTTCTCAGGAGATAATAGTCAAACGGAGTCAAGTCCGGACTATAGGGAGAATGATCTGTGTGAACAAAGCTGCATTCCTGCAAAATTCATGCAGCACAAACACATTGGAAAAATCGGGTCATTTCTGGTTGATTGAATTTATTGTTGTCCCTTGTGACATATATTCAATGAGAAGGCTGCCCCTAATACCACAAAAAACTGTTTTGAAGCGTTTATGAATCCACTGCTTGCATTCTGTTTTTGTCTCAGGGTCCCAATGATGCACCCAAGTTTCGTCGTCCGCCACAATTTGTGGCAAAAATTCAGACTCGTTGTTCAAAATTTCCGAATTACTCCGAAATTTCTATCCTGTGCAATTTTTGTTTGGGTGTCAACAGCCGTGGAATCCACCTAGCTGACACAGTACTCATATTCAGATTGCCTTGCACGATGATTATTTCGCTGGGTTCCGATATATTCAATGATCTTCTGGCTTCAACCTTTATGATGATACTGTCGCTAGCTGATTATTCAATTGTAGTTTACTTTCCTTGTCTGGATTACGTGACCAGATATAGACTACAAATAATTCAAAATAACTGTTGTAGGTTTGTTTATGATCTGCGAAAGTTTAGCCATGTATCATGGGGATGGTTGAAGGTAGACCAGCTTTTTACATATCATCTGCTCATTTTAGTCCAAAGAATCAGATATAAAAGGGTACCTATCTTCTAAAAAAGCTTGTACCACGTGGTGATCTTAATACCAGAAATCTCTGGCATAACACCGACTTCAACATACCTAGTTACAAAACTAACTTTTTCCATCGTACCTTTACTTACAATGCCATAAAAGGGTATAATGCCCTTAATGATGCACACGAGGGCAAAGGTCTGGTTGCATTCAAGAAAGCCATCAAGAACCATCTTTTGGGATCTGCTAGCCAAGCTAGTCAATAAAGTTTGTGTTTTATCACAATTCTGGATATCAGATTACAGTTGGGTGATAATTATATAGTCCAAATCACGAAAGATGACGATTACGTCATCGTTTTAGTTTGTAGTAAAGACAAACGACCGCGATTTGTGAATATTTTAATGAAGTTTCAGATATGCTAGACAGAGACAAACAGAATTTTATTGTCTAAACAAACTGTATTGCTAATATGCATGTATCCGATAAAGATAGACGATGTCTTCATGTCGCATGATCGATCATTTTTGAAAGATGAAAAGTTAGGTTATGTTAAAGCAGGTTAGCTTGTTTTCGAATAATACTTTGGTCTTTGGTGTTTCTGTCTTAAGGTATTCTAATCATAACTATTTTCTTCAAAAAATTATTATTACTCAAAACCATGAAATAAAATAAAAATAATCGGTGAAATAACCTAACTTCGCAAAATCATAATATTATAATAAATTTGTTGTCATTATTCCTGATATTGTGATTTTATAATCGGAGGTACGTCCATTGATTACTTCAGTACAATTTGTGGTATGGCGTAATAGTCATCTTTCGTGATTCTGACTATATTAGCATATTGCCTTGTTCATTTATTTTTGATTAATAGACCAGACTATATTTTTTTTTCTCTGTTAGTATCATATACATAGTCTTGTTTTCATGCAGCTCATCTTTAAGACTTACCTTCCTAGTTGATATGATTGTTAGCTTCTTTAAGTGTATGTTAATGGTTATTACTTTTTCTTATATCGTTTTTTTGTGTTCATTTTTCTACGCTGCGCTGTCAGGTTAAGTGGTAGACTAGCCAGCTGGCTAAACTTCGACCTAGTGTGGATCTATCAATAAAAGCATTATTATTATTATTATAATTCATCATTTGTGGCTGTTTTGGGCCTTGCACTTCTGAGATTATCTTCTATGGATTCACGCCCCATCGAAACTGTTTCGTCCAAAATTTGATTGTATCATGCTGCATCATCCCCATCCTTTGGTTAGAAATTTTATGACATACTTCTCTCGTTGTATTTGAGTTTTTGGCCCGAAGCTCAATCACAGCGACAGAACACCCGATTTAGACCGTTGCGACTTCTACCTGTTCCCAAAATGCAAAATAGTGCCTCGGGGGCATTACTCGAGGGATGTGGAAGCCATCAAGGCAGAAACGACACGGCAAATGAAGGGCCTCACAATTGAAGACCTTTATATCGTATCAACAGTGGAAACGGCGTTGGCAGAAGTGCATCTTGTCTCAGGAGACCATATTGAAATACCTGAACAATTGTAAAATAAAGTCATTATTCCACTTTTATACGCTCAATAAAGGAACGTACCAACTCTGAGGACACCCTGGATACACGTGCACAAACCACAGAAAGAAGCATCATGTAAATAAGCGTTGACTGAATTACGTAGCCTTTTTGCATGTGCTTATATTGATTTGACATCTCTTTCCAGATGCCGCTACTGTCACGAGCTGTACACGGAAGACAAGAACCCGCGCGGTTCGTGCGAGTATGCTCCGGACCTCGTCAAATCCTGCATAAACCGCATCACTTGCATCGGATGCGCCGAGTGCATCGGGTACCACTGCGCCGCCGACGAAGAGGGGGACTTTGCGCAGCATCCGTGCGACTGTACGGGCGAGGAGAACTGCACGAGACGGTGGTGCTGCTTGACGTTCCTCTCGCTGTTCGTGCCCTGTCTGTGGCTCTACCCGCCGTTGAAGCTCTGCCATTGGTGCGGCATCAAGTGCGGGGTATGCGGCGGGCGACACGGCATGTGATCCTTTGATTCTATTTCACGGTATTAGGTTAAAAGTTGACGAGTATACTGAGTAATGTGGTGGTTGTATCGAAACTATGGAATTTAGATGCGACGTCTTCAAGCGCGACGCGGTTATTCGGTAGTATGTGACGTCTATGCTCGTGCTCTGATGCTCTAGTAGTGAAGCGAGGAGCCTTTCAAATCAGAATGTTTGAAAGAAACATATCTAATCAAAAATTCATATTTATGGGGACATATCAGGAAAAGCGACGCCAATGCTGTTCGTGTTGTAAAAACGACAGCGAAACTTGACGCTTGAGGTACCAGTGATGCTTTGTCAGGGTTGCCATATTGAGAGATTTTCCCTCAAATTTGGGGGATGTTCCCTCAAATCTTTTTTTTACTTTCGGAATTTTTTGGGGATATAATGTTCTGGGGATATCACAAGTTTCGCGGATAGAAAGGATGTAAATGCTCGATGCAAATAGTTGGAAATTTTTTAGCCGTTTGTGAAGAGCTGTTGTGATACTTTCTCAAAAAAAGTCTCCCAAATAACAATTAATGGAAAGGGGTAGGTTTGACTCTTTATGTCCGAGGAACCTGTGATTTTCCCCCAGAACAATATATACCCAAAAAATTCCTTAAATTTGGGGGAAAATCCCACAATATGGCAACCCTGTCAAAGCACCACTGTTTCTCCAGGCGTCAGGTTTCGGGGTCGTTTTTACAGCACGAAAAGCATTGCTATTGTTTCTCCTGGCCACATGGTACTGCTGTATGAGTACTCACATCAGATACTACAGAGAAATTGAGTAGCAATACGTGAGGAAGCTTTATTACAGCCTTGAATCCACATTGTGAAAATTATTAGGTCAATAACAGAGACGCACAAGGTTTGAATATCAATTTAATGTTTGATGAACCCTATTGTGTCTAAAGCTGCATACACATAGACTAGGATGCTCCGGTGTATATTTATTTATTCCCAATACTGCTCAAATAGCTACACACGAATTCGTCCGCCATATCATACGTTCATTAAGGGTGGCGAGCACCAGCCTGGAGATTTAAAAACTAAACTAGTATGTTGCTGGAAATATATGAAATTCACGTTGAAATTGGTTTCGTTTATGGATGTAGTAGAACTGTTGCGTCATTATTAAGGTAGCACATCCCTTTTTTTATATCTTCTCAACTTCCTGTTTGCAGCGGTATTCTAAATCCTTTTCATCTGTTAATTTCATATTGTGTATAGAGATGACTAAAAAACAATGTTTTCATTTTTTTGTCCAAATATGCATTTTTGTGCATTTTATTGTGTGTTCTTTCTTCAATCGGAACTTGTTAACAGCTCTGGAATTGTGTGTGAATATTCCTCGTTTATGAAAAAATGAAATTAGTGATTACTTTTTCTTCGTAAAATATTTGCTTTCCTTGAAAACTCAACTTGTTGCGAGACGAGGCTTCAAGAAAATCAAATATTTTTAGAAAAGGAAAAGTGACAAGAATAAAAGCAATCACTTTTTTCATTCTTCCATAAAAGAGGAATATTCACACACAATTTCAGAGCTGTACTTATATTTCTTAACCAGTTCCGATTGAAGAAAGAATGAACAAAAAATGCATTTTTTACAAAAAAAAAATAAAACATTGTCTTTTAGTCATCTCTCTACACATCATGAAATTATCAGATGAAAAGGATTTAGAATACTACTGCAAAAGATATCTAAAAAAAAGGGGCGTGCCAATTTTATACATTTTTAGCAACATACTAATATAGTTTTGAATTCTCTTGGAGCTCGCCATTCTTAATCTTCTATTAAACAGTGCAGTGGCATTTGACAAGAATTTAATTGCAATTATTATCTTTTGGTGCGCATGATTTGTACATGTACAGTCTGCGAAATCCGAGGGTTCACCATTCTGTCCTTACAAACGGCTAAAAATTTCTTCAAACTAAACTAATCTAAAAATACTTTTCCGGGTCTTGTAGGGATTGCTTTAGTTATAATTTAGATACTGGCAACCTCAAAAATAATTATTATTGACCGAGTTTTTAATCATTGAAAATCACATTTCTAGGGTTTTTCAGAATGGCCTATAGCTCAAAATTGTCCAACTTAGAGTAGTAGGTACTGAGTTCTTGTTTAGAAAAAAATATAATCGGAGGAAAAATTTGTAATTCGTTTAAAAAATTGTCTAAACAAATTTTATCTGGATTACTGGCCCTGTAACCTTTTAGGGCATGAGTAATGACGTGATTTGTAGCTTTAAAAGCAAATTTGCTGAAAACTTGTTATTTCGAACTGTCCAATTCATGAATTTCGCCTATCCAGAGGTTTTTGAACAGTGTTCGTATGGAATCATTATTTTTCCATTCATGATGTACTTACGGCCGCGTCGCCACTGAAATCGTCCGCTTTCAAAGATCGAGATTTATATATTTATTCCAGTCATAGAAGCTTGAAAAGCTAAAAAAAAAGACGAAAGGAAGTATTGCAAAATTTTTGTTGAATGTTCCATAACATGAAACCTCTAATAGTCGATCCATAAACGTCATTTGCAGCTGGTGCTGTAGACTAATTTGTTATATCGGTACAACGGAATGGAGGAGATGCGGGTTCGAATCCCGCCGTGTCCATTTTTCTTATATCTCAACTTGTTGTTTGTTGCGCTCCTCCAAAAAATCGTTTGCAGGTTACTGTCCTCGCACTGTGGTACCGTGGTGTGTGCCCATGAGGCGGCGTGGTGCAACAAGAAAGCGACTACAGCTCTGAGATCTTTCATTTTACAAAGTCATGGATACCGTAGGGTTTTCCTTGTTTTTTTCGTTTTCAGTAGCATTCAAAATGTCTGAGGCAGAAACAATTTGATCGATGATTACAGAGACTACAAATTGATCGCGTCGCCACTGAAATCGGCCGCTTTCAAAGATCGAAATTTATTTATTTATTTATTTATTTCGCGGTTTTTTATATATTAGATTGTCACAGACGAACCCATAGATAGTAATACATTCTCGGAAGGCTAAAACAAAGACTTAAGAAAGTATTGCAAAACGTTTGTTGAATTTTCCTTAACATGAAACCTCTAATAGTCGATCCTGAAAGGTGGTTTGTCGCTGGTGCTGTAGACTAATTTGTTAGGTCGGTTTCACGGAATGGAGGAGATGCGGGTTCAAATCCCGCCGGCGCCCATTTTTCTTATATTTCAAGTTGTTATTTGCTGCGCTTCTCAAAAAAATCGTTTACAGGTTACTGTTCTCGCACGGTGGTACCGTGGTGTGTGCCCATGAGACGGCGTGGTGCAGCGAGAAAGCGATTGCAGCTCTGAGATCTTTCATTTTACAACGTCATGGATACCGTAGGGTTTTCTTTATTTTTGTCGTTTTCAGTAGCATTTAAAATGCCAGAGGCAGGAACAATTTGATCAATTATTACCGAGACTACAGATTAATCGCGTCGCCACTGAAATCGGCCGCTTTCAAAGATCGAAATTTATTTATTTATTGCGCGGTTTTTTATAGATGTCAGATTGTGACAAACGAACCCATAGATAGTCATAAATGCTTGGTAAGCTACAAAAAGAGACGAAGGAAGTATTGCAAAACGTTTGTTAAATATCCATTAACATGAAACAAGGCCTTTCGGTAACACGAAACAAATTTTTAATAATGAAATACATTATAAAAAAATATTTCTTTTTTGTCAGGACTGACTGTTTCTAGGTTTTCAGAAAGAATGCATCTAGTAAGCTTTACCGTTTTGGAGTTATCAGCGATGTAAATGTCTCTAAAAGTGGGTATACTAAATGCTTAAAAACTCGGTTAAAAATTGTAATTTTTGAGATTGTAAATTATCCAAATTAAAGATTAAACCTGCATGTCCCCGAAAAGTATTTTGAGATTAATTTATTTTTAAGCGATTTTTAACCGTAGACCAAAATTGGCGAGCTTTCGATTTACGCAGACGACACGTTACTATTTGTATTTTAACAAACTACTGACACATATAATATGATGTTTCGGCAAACATTTGTAGCAATGAAAGTATTGCAAAACGTTTGTTGAATGTCGATTAACATGAAACAAGGTGTAGCATTTCGGTAAAACGACACAAATTTTACTCTTAACGTGTATGCAGATAAATACGTGGCGTCGATATTCAATTCGTATCAGTCTCACCGCCTGTCAACACTCTTCATATTTGTTCCATAAACATTGACCCAATAATATTGACATGAGGAATGACCTCTCTGTACCTCAGGAAATAGGGAAGTTAGAATAGGCATTTCAAAAGGTAATATTGATGATTTTTTTTTATGCTTAAGTACGTCAAGTACGAAAGCTCATGACCTTAGAGAAATTAATTATTTTCTTTTAACTCCGCGTGTTTACGACATACTTTCAAAAACAATGGTTCGCCAATAGTACGATTTTGGAATATGAATCCTATTTTTATTGAAATATTCTTGATTGTTTCCGTCTTGTTTCATGTGATTGTCTGGACCAGAAAACTTTGATACAAGAAATTTACTTAAGCATCTGAGAAACAACTTCATGAATACAAATGGTCCAGATGTCATATTTCACAGTTTTCAAGTTTTGCAATCCAAGAAATATGTTGTACACTCTTTTTTTATATTCAGATACTTTTTGCTTTTCCACAGTACTCGCATCCATTTTTTAAATTGCATTTAACATGGTCCAGAGTAATGAATATCTGAAAGCGACTGTGATCTAATAGTAAGCATTTCATAGAGATAGATTTTTGTACGATTTTCTGCATTTAAAGGATACTTTAAACATAATACCGTGAAATAGATCAAGTGACACCCGCTCATTTGTGGTTGTGAACGCAGAATGAAAAAAATGGACAGAAAAGTTTAGGCGCTGACCTAAACATTAATCGAAAGACTGTTTCTTTGTTGATTTTTTAAATTATAAAATCGCTATTGTGAATACAAAATTTTAATCTTGTTTATTTAATTTATAAAGAACGATTCAGGGCGAGATGTACATGTTGTGTCGAAGATCGAGTTCTGAATCGAGAAGATTTAATATTGTTGATGTGTTCCATTCTAACGCTTTACACAATATGATCCACAGAACAGACGGACTTGGTAATTTTGGAAAAGCGATAGTTATGTGCATTTAACCTGAAAGAAAAGTGATGATCTAATATTTTTTCACAACTGCGTTACTCTACTAATGTCACCAAATGTTACCAAACTAGTTGTTTGTGGTACCGTGATGTGTGCAAACGAGGCGGCGTGATGTAACTAGAAAGCTATTGGAGTCCAGTTGTTTCACTTGAACGCCGCCAGGTGGGGCACCAAGGCAACTTGAGAGAACAAAGAAGCAGTGGCGTGGGTAGGATTGAATTTTCGTCTAACAGACGATCCTGGAAGGTGGTTTGCAGCTGGTGCAGTAGACTAATTTGTACCACGGAATGGAGGAGATGCGGTTTTGAATCCCGCCGGCGCACATGTTTCTTATATTTCAAGTTGTTTGCTGCGCTCATCCAAAAAATCGTGTGCAGGTTACTGTCCTTGCACGGTGGTACCGCGGTGTATGCCTATGAGGCGGCGTGGTGCAACAAGAAAGCGACTGCAGATGCGAGTTCTTTCATTTTACAAAAGCGTTGATACCTTGAGTTTTCCTTTTCTTTTGTCGTTTTCAGTAGCATTAAAATGTCAGAGGCACGAACAGCTTGATCAATGATTATTGATCCATGAATCTAAAATACTTTGGGATACTTGTGCACCTAATTTAGGCGCTGTTGAAAACTAACAATTTTTTCTAAAGGAATGAGTGAACGAACTGTAAAGTGCTCCAAAATCGTGCTGAGGTGCAGTGTTCCAAAGTTGGTTTTCCAGAAATTACCAAGTCGTTTGTCTTATTGCGTGTTGTTGTAACGAACAAGCAAAAAACATGTAAGTGAAACGCCAATCTATGTACTCTACATTGGGATTCTATGAACTGCCAATAAAAAATGTATATATTACAAGTACATAGTCATGACAATACGGCTTATAAATATTTAAAATAAAAATCATGGAAGTATATCAATAGAAGATAAATGTTTTATAAAATTAGTTGTATATATGGATACCGCAAAACATGTGAGATGTCTTTTGATATTCGTCTCACTTGGAAATCTTTTTAATAATTCCAAGATGTGTAATATATAATGTCTGTCCAATTTATCACCAAACGCTATTTCAATGGGATTAACGCGTTTCATTTTTGAATGAACTCTGATGGTTTGATGCACGGATTCACTATTTTGTCAAATTTTGTGACATATTCTTGAGTTAACCTTGATTTGAAAGAATTTGCCATTAAAGTACCTGGCACAAAATTTATGGAAATCGGCCACCGGTTAATTTGAATGAAAATTCGTATAATAAAAGTTCATGTCGTGCTCATCAAATGTTCCAATGGGCACCAAGCTCAGAAATGATTTCTATTGGAGATACAGTTTGGTCCTTACCTCCTGTGGTACGCCTGCATCATTTCAAGAAAACTTACTCATTTTTATTGTAGACTTAACGTATAGACATACTATGAAAGATATTCGAAAACGGTTTGCACAGCAAGATTAAAATCTTATATTTGCGTATTTCTAAATTATTTGGAGATATACAGGGCGTTGCACAACTTAGTGGCACAACAAAAATTTTAAATGAAATTCCATATTTTATAGATATTTGGAAAGACCTCTTGAAAACAAGAAGACTTAAATCATACACAGTAGAATTTAGATCCTCATTTGTTTCGTTATTTTCTCACTTGTCTGCCTCTTTGACTTCCGCCATTTTGCGTAGCACTTCATTGAATTTTCGGAAAGGGATGAAAAAGTATTCCAATTTAATAGCCAGATAGCTGTTCAAATAACCGCTACAAACCTGGTATCAAAAGGGAGCTTATGAAACGGAAAACCTGTAGTAAAACATAGAGAAAATTCTTTCTAAGATTTAATAAAGAGAGCAAAGCCTTCAAATCCTCGTTTTAAATGAACAATTTCTTCACGAATTTTTTCAAGGTCATCCTGATTATGTTCTGCAGTGTTTACATCAATGGACAAATTCATGGACTATCTGACAAAACTCAGTGCTGCCAACTACATAACAAATTCTTGCTAGAAGATTGTGGTTTTGATTTTGAGGCGAATCTTATAAACTAAAACCATATTATTGAATCATCTTGAATTGAAAATTCGTTCCATATAATGGAAAGTAAAACAAGGTTGGCACCATGGAATTTGACGTCCAACTTGGCAAAAATTCGAAGAAATCCACGACGAACTTAGAGTTATTTGACGTCAAATTCCTGTTTTACACTTTTGAAATTTGGCTATGAACTCTTTTCAAGGCGTAATCCGTAGACTTGTCACTGTAAAACGGGTAAAGAATATGCATTTTTTCCAAACAAATGCTAAAGTAACTAAACAATGATTAAAATCCGACAGTATTTTATGTAAATTTTCTTGTTTTCGAAGAGTTTTTTCAAATATCTAATATCTTCTATAAAAAAATATATTTTTTGTGCCACGGAATTTTATATTATATTTCCAAATAATTTAGAGATACACTCCCATAGGCATGGGGCCCGCAGGAATTTGTCTCAGGAGGACCGATCATCGGCAAGAGATAATTTTTCGTGAAAGTGTACCTGCTCCCGAAACCTTTTGAAGAGCGGGGGGTTGCAAATTTTCCCAGGGTAGGAGGACAGAATCGTCAAAATTTTACACTAAGTCATACTAAATTTTATCTCCAACCGTATTAATCTTGCCGCGCAAATCGTTTTCAAAAGTTTCTCTATTAAACTGTTTCCGTTGGACACTCTGTATATATTGTATGTGTTCATGTGACTTACATTATATTTTTAAGTTCCTTGAGTATATTAAAGACGAGTTTTTGTAAAATCATACAGACAGACAGAGGCTAAGGCGCCAAACTTTAACACCCTGTATCTCCAATAGAAAGCATTTCGGGGCTGTGCGCCCATTGGAACATTTGATCAGGACAATATGAACTATCAATATAAGAAATTTTCTTCCAAATTGGCCATAACTTTTGTGACATATTCTTATTTAACAAGGAAAACTTAATTTGAAAGAATTCGCCATGAAATTTGAACAGTATTTAATTATCCAATTTGACGGTTTTTGTTTGAAGTTACGTTGATATCGAGACGGATCAGCAACAGGAACTCGAAATTTGTCTAATACTTTTCACAGGTATGAGACATATTTCCTAGTAACTCTTGCTCAATTTTTCTCGATGTTCGAACTTGCTGTTGCATTATAAAACAGTTTCTTTCGTGATACAGCAGCAAGACCTGTGACTCTGACAGTAGACTTAGCCACGGGCTCAGGCTAAGTTTGGTTTCACTGAAACTGGAAATATTCACCAATACAAATGTGACCATAAAGTCTTGGTGAAATTATGCTTGTAATTTTTATCTCATTACTCATATACTTTTGTTATTTTTATACCACTAAAGACGGAGGTTATGTTGTATGTGTACAGAGCTTGCTGGAAGTTAGAACCGATGAAATTTTATATCCAACCTAGTGCTTCTAATTTCCCGCATTGATTCCATTATTGCAATCGAGTAGAACTTATAGATAGTTCTTACTGTGTGTATATATATGTTAATACAGTATGATATGGCTTATTATAAAAGTTGTGTGAATGATATTTTAATTATATTAAGAATAATTAAAAATATGTTAATAATACCAATAAATTCATTGAACTACTTTACACCCGACTCCTGTGTGGTTGCGTAGGAAAGTGGAATAACGGCGAAGCTCCTGATGAAAATGATACATTTTGGACAAAAATATCTAAAAGTGGTTCTTGAGGTCTACTGGACCGATTTAGATTTTTTATACTCCAACTACCACGAAGGCCTAAACACCCATTGGGTACCGTGGGGCTGTAGGGGGATACAGGGGAAAGGGGGAACACGTGTGCATGCAACATGCACACATTCTGGCTCCGCCTATGAGATCCGCCGGGTGGTACCTCCGCGTTCGACAGTCAGAGACCGTCCACCACCTAAGGACAATCACAACATCCATAGCCAAGAGAAAATTTTCTCCTGGGACGGGATTCGAACCCGCACAGCGCACGGCGACTGATCAGGAGACCGAAGAGTCTACCACTGCGGCCACCGCTGCTGCCTAAGTTGCCCGAGTACAAAATTCAACTCGTATAGAGCGATACGACTTTCAAACAAAATTAATTTTTTGCGGAATGGGTTCTAATTGAACAATTGAAAAAAAACACTATTAACTATAAATATCTGCCGCATATCGCAATTTGGAAAACACTTTTGAGTTAACGGATAATTTTGCTTTGGAATAGTCGTACATGGTGAGTTCTTAGTGTGGGCTTGGTCGATAACTCCGTAATGCAAAAATTATAGACAAGAACATGCTCCTGACTGGGGAAATATACTAAGTGACATATAAATCCGAACACCCAGTTTAAATGGTTTTATTTTAATAAAATTTTGTATAAGTACTTAATGAAGCATAATAAGTAAATGATAAAAATTTCAAAATGATTGCACTGCTTTAAAGCCCTTTGACCTTTAATAATGTGTGGATGCACCCTGATGTGCTACGCATTCTCCAACGCGCCTAGGCATGCTTCTGATCAGGAGGTCAATGTCCTCCTGTGGTATCTCATTCCAGGCAACCACCAACTCCTCTCGAAGTGCTTCTAGAGTCTGAGGAGGACGTTGCAAATTGATCAATCTCCTACCCATCATATCCCACACGTGCTCAATTGGGGATAAGTCGGGAGATCTTAGTGGCCATGGTAACAATGTGACATCATTATGTTGAAAGAAGTCTATTGTGACTCTTGCAACATGTGGTCGGGCATTCTCTTGTTGGAAAGTTGGATCTGCCAGGGTGTCAAGATAGGGTAAAAGATGGGGTTCTAGAACTTCATGGATATAACGCTGCGCGTTCATGTTACCTCTGATGAAGATTAAAGGTGACCTGGAACCATAAGCTATAGCACCCCAAACCATAACTCCAACAGTGTGATGAACATGTCTTTCAACAAAAAACTGTGGATTCCTCCTTCCACCACGTCGCCTTCTAACCCTGGCACGACCATCGTGCATTCCTAAACAAAATCGAGACTCGTCACTAAAGACAATACTGTTCCATTCCTGATCCCAGAGTGACCGTTGTCTGCACTACTCAAGGCGATTACGTCGGTGTTCTCGAGTTAAAGGGAGGACCCAGTGTGGCCGGTATGAAAACAAGCCAAAACTTCTCATTCGCCGGTAAACACTTCGCATGCCAATAGGTCTTCCGTGTTCTGCAAACCATTCATTTGCAATGGACCTGGTAGTGGAGAAACGGTCCTTTACGGCCAATAATCTTAGGCGGCGATCTTCACGGTCTGTTGTTCTACGGCGGCGTCCAGTGCCCCTTGCTCTTTGCGTACGGCCTTCTCGAAGCCATGCCTGACAACACTTAACCACAGTGTCTACACTTCTTTGCACTCTAACTGCAATTGCCCGAAAAGAAAGTCCAGCTTCCCGAAGTCCCACTATACGGCCGCTATCAAACTCACTAAGTTGACGAAATCGTACAGGTCTCCGTACTCTAGGCATCGTAACCGATCGTAAAGGATGTCAAGAACCAAAATCCGCCAACCTTGATTCTTTACTGCGGCTGAAATATTCATTTTTAGAGCGTTAGTGAATTAAAAAAAAGCAGTATAAAAACCGAAATGTCCAACTGATAAGGCCGAAAATTTTTTCACTTGTTATTTACAGTAAGATAAATACATTCACCAACTTTTATTAAAATAAAACCATTTAAAATGGGTGTTCGGATTTATATGTCACTTAGTATATTTTTATCTCTTCAGGGTGATTCGTATATAATACGTGGTAACTCAAACATACATCTTATTTAAATGGAATGTTCTACATTTTATTGTAGATTAGTATAGGGCCTCTCAAACGAAGCAATTTGATATTTTATATACAGGGTGCGGCAGAGAGGACGGACGTTTTTGGGATGGTTAGTACTCTCCGCCTCCGTCTACGAGAGAGGTGGGGAGGGTGCCGTTTGACTCGTGAGATCCTAGCATTATTTTACCAGTTGTCGTTATGGAGCCTTGGACGGTGGAGCATCGCGTTTTCGCCTATGATTGTTTCGTCCGAAATAATGTCAGTCATCGTCGACTAGCGTGAGTTTCGTCGCCACTTCAACATTCATCGGAATAGAGCTGTTCATATGGAAATTTCGTCTTCAAATTGACCAAGGATTCGATGGTTAAAGTTTGTCTACATACTTTATTAACACCCTGTATATGCGCACATTGCAGCGATTCAGTATCGGCCGATAAAAAGTCTGCAGTCTGCGGAGGCCCCAATAGCTAGAGCAGATAAAAATTTGATGATCCCATATTATCTCGCTATCTACTCATTTTTACAGTTTTTCGAACAGTTCATACAGGGATGTTCACAAACGCAAGATAAACTTTTTCCCAAAATTTCCAAATGGAACTCGCTATATATTTTCACACTATTTGATTGCTCTTTTTACAAAATGGTTTTTGAGTTGCTAAAAACTTGACATTTGGGTTTTATTGCACTAGGTTAAGGATATTTAATTTATAAAGAAAATACACCAATTTTAATGATCTGCTGTTGCAAACTGAATGCTATTTTTATTTTGAAATGTATCGTAATATTTTTTATTCACTTTGACATCTGATTTACAACAGGGGTGAGCTGTAACTTATATAGCTATGGGTACCCCGTGGTGCACTTCATGTGCGACCGATAGGCTGAAAGCATTTTTTCGGGCAAATCTGAGGCGTGAAATATACATAATAGGTGCGCTGAATTATATTAATATACTAACATACAAAAATGTTATATAACCCTACATCCTCACGCCCCTGAATTGTTCATACTTAAATTTTTCCAAAATGATAAGGAGCCTCTGAAACGTCGTAAAAAAAGATTGAGCGATTTTTATTTTTTTGTTTTTGACCTTTTTCTTCGCCGCGACAGGACCGATTTCCAAAGACTACAAGGCATTCGTCTTTGGCATACTAGTAAGATTTTGTAAAGATTTTATGGGACATGGATTAGCAGACAGACATTCTGAAGGAAATGAGTGACATGGTTTCAACTTCCAAAAAACATATCCCATTTTCGAAATTTCTTGCGATTTTTCATTTCATGCCGTGTATAACGGGTACATACTACAACGTTAAAAAATATCCATCTTTTGTCCTTATTCAGTCGCATCATTGGCAGAGAAATTTACAACACCCTGTAACTCCATAAAGGGACATTTTATGACGTACCTGTTTATATAAACTTTTTTTGCAGAAAACGCCTAGATTCCAATTTTGCTCCAAGATACCTTTATCGCCTACACGTTTTTCTGTACCAACGAATTCATACTAGGTAGGAGCTAGGCAAGGATTCGTTTGTCAAAGTGCACTACACACAAGACAATTTTTGACAGTTCTGTGATTAAATTCGTAATTTCAGTGTTACTTTTTAAAAATGCGAGTGTTTGCTGATAATTGTTGTGTTAGGTGAGTTCAAGAGGTACTATTTCTTACATAATTTGCAAAGAGGAGCACAAGTCTCGGGTAAGTATTATTGATATTATGTTGATACAACAATGCCAGTTTGGTATCTACCAATATAAATGAGTCAAAACTATACAATTTTGGCGACAAACATTGCAATTTAAACATGTATTCTTGGCTCCTAATCAATTCAAATTTGTTGTTCTCTACATACATATCCGGTTGTGCAAACATAGTTTTGTCTAATATAACATCTGAAAAAGAACATAAACCACAGATGTAGGTTTAAAAGTTTACTAACGTTTCAGCCACCTTGGTGGATTTTTACAAAGTACAAAATTTTGTAGTGTAAAACTTTACTACTTTCATATAGTACAGAATTTTGTAATTGGAAAAAAGCTGACTTAGATGGGTGAAACATCAGCAAACTGTTCTACGGTCTTTGTTTTGCAATCAAAAAAGATTCACGGATAAATTCTTGGAATCAACAAAAGTTTTAGTATAGTCATTGTACCCATTCTTTATTCATCTACTATCCATGAATATTATAAATTACACTCCTATAGGACAGGACTGACTGAAATGTCAGTTTCAACATATCTCTCCAAAAATATATGTACGCAATATCCAACCATGACATTGAGTCAATTACTTATGAGTCACCATCTCCATGCTTTTTGAGTACATCTTGTATCATTTGATCCGATTTCTCCCATAACTGTGTAGCAATATTGCTGTAGAATATTGCCCTTGAGTTATAATGCTGACAGTCTCTGTATAGTAGTCCAGTTTCTTTTTCTAGCTCTGGTTCTGTTGCACAATACAAAGGAGTTTGGGCACCCTAAAATTGAATTTTCTTTTATATTGAATTCTAACTACATGACAAAAAATTATTTCATAAAGACCTTAAATATTACATACATAGATACTATATAATAAAAAAATTGAGAGTATGCAATGAAATCTGTATACCACTGACGTTGTAATGTGTACGAGAGAAGCGCCAGAAGCGTGCAATATGTGTGTTAGAGAGATTAGAAGTACCTTCTAACATACATGTTGAATGCTTCTCTCTCGTCAACCAAATTTAAACCTCACCATATACAAAATTTCCTTTGATAGACCTACATTTTCTGAAACGTCAGTTTGCTTAAAAACCCCCATCTTCAGTTCAGTAACCTTGAATATTTTAGATAAAAACTAACTTCAAAGGCAACCCTTTGTAAGTACATATTTGAAATACTACTTTTCAGAATTTTTTCTTTTAATAAATCTGCTGTTCACACCTGTTTGGGACTCCTCATGAAAAAGAATGCAACTGGCAATATAAGGAAATAATGGTACCACTTGATTGAGTGTCTGAATAAATTTGTATACACCCATCCTGGACAGCAAGCATAAACATTCATTTTCCCTTTTGTTCTTTGGGCCAGCTCTTGAGCAAAGTAGATGTTGGCTAGTTTTGAGTTTGCATAGAGGTTTGTCTTCTTTGTAGTAGATATACCATTTAAGTCATCCAGATTTATTTCGCCTTTCTCATGCAAAGATGAACTAAGTACCACAACTCTAGCATGTCCAGCTATAAGTTCATCTAACAGAAGGTTTGTAAGATAAAAGTGGCCTAGATGGTTCACTCCAAAATGTATTTCAAACCCATCCTCTGTTTCAACACGTTTTGTATTTGGAAATGATACTCCAGCATTGTTGATAAGTATGTTGATTTTAGGAAACTGTTTCTTGACTTCATCAGAGAACTTTTTTATTGAGCTAAGTGAAGCTAAGTCTAATTCCATAGGAATCTGTAATAAACAAAATAATGTGACCAAAAAAAATAATATAACAAAGATGAGTAGTTTAAAATTTTTACTTTTGGAATAGGATTGGATATTATGACAAGCTGAATACAGAAGTGTAAGCCCTTGCTTTGACATACCATTTATGCCGCATAAGCATGCTAACTTATTTACTGACAACATTGATAGTTGATAACGATAACTGTAAACTAGGTATTTTTGTTTGGAAGTAGAACATAGACAGTCTGTCACAATATACTGGGCTGTTGACCACTAGCATGAGCCGTTCTCAGTCATCATCAGTATAAATGACTAGGTTTATTTTACACGGGTTTGCGAAAACATTACTTACCAAAACAGGGTCTGCTGAAAGCTTTTGATTAACATAAATGCATGCTTCCCTAGCTTTCTCCAAGTTCCGACAAGCTAATATGACATGGGCATTGCGTGCAGCCAATTCTTTAACAACTTGTAGGCCTATTCCAGAGTTTGCTCCTGTGACTATCACTAATTTCTTATCTAATTTGACTTTGTTCTTGCATATGCCCCATTTCGATTCGCGGTACTTTCTTACGACTATCAAAACCACCACCGGAACGACATAATATACCAAATGATACATTTTTTAATACTTTTTAGTTTTGGCAACAAGTTTAGAGGTTATGTTATGAAAATTTTAAATTACTGTCATAATTGTCTAGTCATGGGTAAACCACCGAGGTATGTGGGGTAAAACTGGATGTGTAAAGCGCTCGATAAACCTCTTTCCCGCTGGGGACAAACTGCTGTTTGAAACATCACGATTAATGTATTTATTCACTTTTCAGGTGAGAGCAGCGGGTTCAGCTGAACATTTAGTGATCTGTTTCCGTTTGTACATGAGAGCCAGACTAGCTTAATTCCATTTTCGCCTAAAATGAATTTTATTGTTCATGATTTTGAATTTTCATTTGGTACTTGGGTAAGACTATACTTTAGCGCATATCGCAAATATTTCATTTCTTATTTAAAAATGAAAGACTGGGATGTAAATTTTAAGAAAATATTTTTTCTTTAAGAAACCCTTTCCTTGCTATTTTATAAAACTTCAAAGTTGCATTTTTGGTGGTAATACTCTACAATAGAATACTGTTTTATACGCTGGTTTTTCGCACATAACGATGCTCTAATTTTGAGAATATAACACACACTGCATATAGTACTAAGGAAAATAGATGTGAAACTGTAAAAACTCGGTATTTTAATGAAAACGGTTAAAAACTAGCATAATCTGAAATGACTTCCAAATACATACCTAAATGATGTATCTACTTTGTTTCGCGAATTTTCAATGAAATCAAAGTTTTTGTGTTTATAGGAAATATTTCAAAGTACAAATAATTCTCAATGGCTGTTGTACAAGGTTCAGTTCTTGACAGATAAGACAAATGATCTCCATTGTTGCCAAATTGTAATCTTTTGAGAGAAATGCGTAATAAAAAAAGAGATTATTTGTAAAATAAACTGTCAGCATAATCATGAACAAAAAAAATATTTATTTTGCAAGGATTTAATTAATGTTACAGGTCGGCTAATAACACTAGCAGCTGATGCCTTGTATAACAAAAAAAATATATTACAGGCTGCAAAATTGGTTTACAGCTTCCAAATCCTAACTCATGTTATTGTTGTCCAGTAGTAAGGCTTCAGTAATGGTAAAGTCTTGGATAGAAACACTTCTGTAATTTGTTTTTTTTTCTGATGACACTGCCTCCATTTTGGCCTACAAATGAACACTTGTTTAGTCAAAATTATAAAATGACTGCAGTTTAATTAACATTCATGTGAAAGTCAGAAGTTATTTGCAATCATGTTGTCTCAGTTGGGAAAAGAAGACAAAAAACAGTGGATCATCATCTTTATATGTACCTGAAGTGTGAAGTACATGACACTTCACTATATAACACTTTGTCATTTGATATATGGTACTTTATAGTTATTTACCTAACAAGTACGGAAAGTGATATTTTTCTGCACGCTGGTAGAAAGAAATATTTCTGGATCTATGCTCGTATGTTGAACTTTCAGAATTGACTGTCATAGATACAGAGTGTTCAAAAAGTTTTGGACCACTTCTATGAAAATTACTCAAAAAAAAATTGCATGGTTTTGGCTAAACAATAATCCAATGGCGATCTTTAAGGCTATTCAGAGATTAAAGAGCTTTTAAAGCACTCTGTATGTGGATGGCAAATCAAAAGTGCAGGAGACAGCAGTAAAGCAATGTGAAATTGACTCTTCACTGAGAACCGCATGAAATTTTGATTTGGCATGTTTGTACTATTTGTAACATAAATGCATTTGATGAAAAGAGTTTAAAAGCTTATGGATCTTCCTTTATAAATCATTGTAAAATTACCTGAGCAACAAACATGCCATAAATTATGGTAATGCAGCAATATAGACCTGGTGAATCTATGGTCTCCACCTGCAAATGAAATTTGTATCATTTTTACAAATAAAAAAATATATGGTCATTGACAGAATTGCAAAATGTTCAGATTATACTTGCAATCATATTGTCTCAGTTGGGAAAAGAAGACAAAATTGAATATGAATCATCATGTTCGCAGTTTGGATTTTATTGCATTTTCAAGAGAATAAAAAATTCAATATCTAATATACTAGCATACCTGATCAATTGATCATCCCAGAAGTCAGCTTCAATACCAATGACACAAGGTACCTGCAAATGTAATTTTGGATGATACTTTCACCAAGCTGCTTTCAAATTAGGTAAGTTAAATAATAAATGTCAAAGTTGTCAGAATATACTTGAAATCATATTGTCTCAGTTGGGAAAAGAAGACCAAATTAAATATGAATCATCATGTTTACAGTTTGGATTTTATTGCATTTTTAACAGCATTAAAACATAGATAATATATGATATTCTAGCATACCTGATTAATTGATTATCCTCAAGGCTGCTTGAATACCAAGGACACAAGGTACCTGCAAATAAAATTTTGAATAATAGTTTCACCAAACTGCTAAAAGTTGAATAAAAAATATAAAAGTTGTCAGAATATACTTGCAATCATATTGTCTCAGTTGGGAAAAGAAGACAAAATTAAATGTTAATCATCACGTTTAAAGCTTTTAATTGCAATTTAAAATAAAAAGAAAAGTATGTTACCTTGCATCCTCTCTAGCAGTACTGCTACATCGTAGTGATCTAACAGGTTCAGTTGTAATAGTTCTGCAAAAAGAAAATTTGATTCAAGATTGCAAAATCATAATACATATATACATAGTGCATACATACAACATACATAATTTATATGTTGGTTTAATGGAATTGAATGTTATATGATTTATAACAACCTATTGACCACTCAACCCATTTTTATTGCAAGGATATCACACTGATTAGAAAATATGGGTTCTAAGCAGCTCTAGTCTCTTGCACTCAGTTCAAATGATAACATTGACAAGTAATCAAAAAATCTTGACCAATTCCACAAATAATCCTAAATATCATGCTTTGTTTGGAATATATCACGAAATTAAGGTAACCATCAAGATATAGGAATTTTTATCAGCCTAAAATTGAATACCATTCAAAAAGAAAACATAATTAGGAGAGGGCTGACATGTAACAGAAGAAATATAGAAATACCCCAGCCTTTCTGAAGGAGAGAACAGACTATGAAAATCAAGGAGGCCATAAGGACATCCTACAATAATGTAGGAACAACTGAGATACAATATGCTTGAAAATAAATAAAATTTATATTTTCCTGGCATACCCAATTCTGACTTTCACTACAAATATCAACAAATCTCTGAAATGCATAACAGTTAATACAATATATGAATACTCTGTATTGATAGATACACATTAGATGTTCATAAAAAGGTACACTAAAAAGTTAAAAGTCTCATATATTTGCAGTCATGTGTCAATTGGGAAAAGAAGACGAAATTAAATTTTAATAATCAGGTTTAACGCTTTTAATTTAAAAAAAATGAGAATTATTTTACCTAAAAACCTTGCAATCTCTCTAGCAGTAGAGCTATATCATAGCAATCTAACCCAGGTTCAGTTGTAATAGTTCTGCAAAAAGAAAATTTGGTTAAGCATTGAAAAATCATAGTATATACTTGGTGCAATAAACAGACATGATTAATATGTTGGTTTAATGGGATTGAATGTTATATAGTTTATAACAGCCTATTAACCATTCAACTCATTTTTATGGCAAGGATATCACACTGATTAGAAAATATGGGTTCTAAGCAGCTCTAGTCTCTTGCAATCAATTCAAATAATAACACTGATAAGTAATTAAAACTTTTTGTTTCCTGAAATTTCTGTCCACTTCACCTAGCGCAATTCAATTTTCATACTTTCGTGTAAATGAGACAATTTTGAGATTTGGCCTTGAGCAATGCATAGCAAATCAAGAAATAATAGAAACTAACGCAAATTGGTCTAGTGAATGCAGTTAGTATTCAGAAAACAGCTTCACTTCTGGCGGCCTCAATACATTCCTGAAGGTAGTTCCAGAGCACAGGAAACGTTTATATTTATTTTACTCAGTGTTTTAGTTTTAATTTGCTCACATTGTTTGGTCTCACAATAATTTTCTTACCTGAAAACTGGAAATCAGGTGTGATGAAAATTTTCCCAGGGCTCATAGGCTGCAATGATGGACCTCGGCGTGAGACATGCCCAAGAAACGAGCACAAAATCAACATATTTTAAAACTTAAAGGCTCAAATAGCTAATACCTAAGGTTTGAAATTTTTCACCACGTGCAGGAACACGCTTTGATTTTCTTATTTTTGTAGGTTACATCCTTGCCTTGGCTGTATGGCTGTTATGTCGTTGACGTACGTCACAGCCCAGCAGTGTTGCCGAACCGGAAAAGCCGAAATCGGTAGACAGTGTCGTTGAAATTCGGTAGAATGGGTAGAATCAACACAAAATCCGTAGGAGGAAAAAAATTAGGACCGTACCAGCGCCACCTTCAACTAACGAGCCATGAACAGTAGATATGGCAACGCAGCTTTGGGGTCTTCCACAGACAGGTGTTTGCCGGGCTTTTCGTTTGTTTATATTCCTAACCTCCGACTTTTTGGTGCAATTTTGTTGGAAATCTCTGGGAACAGTGCAATTCATACAAACCAGAGTAATCTACTTAGTTTTGCTCTTCAAACCGTGCAGAAAGTATTTATTTTAGGTAGTATAAAATCGTGTTTTGATGTGTTTAAAATGTGTGTGAATCGGTGCTTGTTAGAAACGTCTGTATAGTGTGTAGATTCGAGTGGGTACATCTTTTCTTTTAATTAATATGCCTAAGCGTTGCTGTGTACCAGGCTGCAAGGGAAACTACGAGGCAGAATTGAGATCGACACCCTATAGGTCAGTGTTTCGATTTCCAAAAAATGTGGAGTTGAAAAGTAAGTGGCTAGCTTCAATACCAAGAAAGGACTGGTCGCCTTCTAAAGATTCTGTTGTTTGTGATGCACATTTTCAACAAGCAGAAATTGTCCGTACGGAAACTTATGTTCTGCAGGATGGATCAGTCACACTGAGTCGTCCAAAACTTTCAGAAGGTGCTGTTCCATCAGTCTTTCCAAATGTGCCATGTTATCTAAGTAAGCGTCAAGTTTCTAGTAGAACATATCCTGCCATCAGACAAGATAAGATCCTTCAAAGGCATGAGAATTTGGTTTCAGAATTTCAGGAAAAAGACAAAATTACAGGATTCTCAGATTTATTGGAAAACTATTCTAAAATGATTAAAATCCCTGAACATTGGTTGGTGAAGAAGACTAATGACAAAATTTATTTTTATAAATTAGAAACAATCAGTGAAATTTTAGTTTTGAATACGCAAATTATAATAGACAGTTCATTAGAAACTAAGGTATTTAATAAAGGGGATCCGCTCTCATGTAATGATTTGAAATGGGTGCTCCCATTTGACTTGAAGCTCTCTAGATGGTCTCAATTAGAAAACTTACTGAGTAGGTATAGTTTTTATTTTGATAATACAGAAACACTAGAAAATATAAATTTAGCCTATAGTCATATTCACAAAGGGATTGAGAATCTAGAACATGCTGTTAGAGTAATAAATCATGTGTCAGTTCCTTTCCCTCATTTTAAAAATCTAGAAGTTTTAATTGACCAGCTCAAACAAATTCAAAATAAGAAAAATAGATATTCTTCACTCACAATTGTTATGGCATTTATATTCTATAATCAGTCTCCTGCTACCTACCATGTAATCAAAGATTTTTTAATTCTGCCTAGCAAAAGGTATTTGCAGCATATCTCTTCAAGTATGAACCTCACACCCAACAGTGACTCTAACAACCAACATTATTTGGCAAATATGGGATTGAATCCATCGGAAATAGAAAAAATTGTAATTCTGATAATTGATGAAATTCACATTAACGCCAGATTGGATTTTAGGTCAAAAAATATAGTAGGCTATGCATCTAATTCCAATGAAGTAGCAAAAACTATACTAGCTTTTATGGTAGCTTCTCCTTTTCGTGACTTCTCTGAAATTGTTAGATTGTTGCCTGTACACAATTTAACTGGGGATCAGTTAGTACCACTTGTCAAAAATATTCTTAATATTATTGAAACATCCGGCTTTAAAGTTTTATGTATCATATCTGATAATCATAGGATAAATAGAGCTATGTTTAAAAAATTGTCAGAATGTTCATCCAACAGTTATATAAACCCAAATACAGGTTTTCCAGAATACTTCCATAGTCCATCTTCACCAGACAACAAAATATTTTTGTTGTTTGATTTTGTTCATCTTTTCAAAAATATCCGTAACAATTGGATCAACCTAAAGAACCTTGACAAGACATTAGTTTACCCACATTTTGAGACTGGAGAAGCACAGCATGCCAAGTTTCATGAAGTCAATAATGTGTATAATTTAGAAAAACATTCCGTAGTTAAGAAAGCTTTCAAATTAAATGAAAAAACAATACACCCAAATAATTTTATAGACAAAAGGTACATCTTGCAGATAACATATTCCACCATTTAACTATAGCAGCTCTTAAAGATTTTGGCTTCACAGAAACTGCAGGATTTTTAGATATACGGAAATTTTATAAATTATATCGGGTCTTGCCATAGAATACTTCATCATTTGGTGTACATATTGACATTAAAAACAAAAAATCAATATTTTTTGACATATTGGGTTTTGCCTTAGTACCACAGATATATGGCTCTTGGCAAAACCTCCCGATATAAATTGGTAACTTGGTGTGGTAATGCAATACTTCATTTATACATCTCAAGTACGATTCTACTGCTGTATACGTCTGCCAGCAAACAACTTAGTTATAAGAAGCACTACATAATTAGTATTCTTGTGAATTTCCCTCTCTAGGGTTCGCATAGAGTATTCACATTCTGTAATTTAGATTTTGAACTTATGTTTAGTGAAATTGTTTTGTACTTTGTACTCGAAAATTTGAGATTCATCAAAAAAATGCTCGAATCGAAGTTTCTGTAAAAGCGCGTTTTCACGGGTCGATCTAAGTTGAACCACCTGGGTTATTCGACCATGGTTCGATCTGAGTTGAAAGCAAAAAGGTTTAGACGATAGGCGATGTATGTTGACCAAAAATAAAAACGACACCACTTTGCTTTCGATTCAATGTTCGACACAAATTGTTCGACTCAGATCGACCCGTGAAAACGCGCCTTAATAACGGCACACACCAGCTGGACGGCCGGACCCCAAAATGCCATGATGCGGTGTTGCCTTTTTCTCTTCATGGCTCGTTAGTTGAAGGTGGCGCTGACCGTACTATAGTTACTTACGAACAGCACACATTCTGACCTAACCTAAGTAAACCTAACTGAGCGACGCTTACGATTTGACTCAACGGCCCGAGTAAAGATAACATGGCCACGCAAGACAACTATTGAAATATACTCTACTAGACTTTAGAAGACTATCCGTAGCGAAATTTTTTTGCATCATATTTAGTAAACATAGTGCCAAGAGCTTAGTGTCAAAGCACGATACTGTCGATTATAGACTATCACCAATTCCTTGGACTAAAAATAGTATTTTGTTCGAGGCCCTGCTAATAGTTTTGAAATTTTTGAGAAATGAATGTAAGTATCTAAGAATACTCATTTGTTTGCAACATCTACTCAAATAAAATGAAACAATATAAAAAACACGTTTGTTTATAACTTAAAAAATAGTAACGTACCGTGATACATCGTTGAAGTCGTAGAAGAAGATGCAATTAGACATAGGGTAATACTTTTTTAAATGTTGTGCACTTCGGGCACATTTAAAAACATCATGTAGTGCCATTAGTGTTTTAAAATTTCTTAAAATAAAGTCAGACAAAAATAAAAACGAATTGGCCAAATTTTAGTTTATCCCAAATACCTCAGTATATGACTAATTTCTCAGTGTATGCAATTTATTTAAAAAACATAGGATGTCAACTCTAACACACAAGTAGAGTAGTATGCAAGGCTCACCTAGTTTGCTGCACATGTATCCTCTTTCCCTCAGAAGAGTTGGAAGTAGACCTAATTCTACTTTGGAGACACTTGACACCCACTTCACAACACTAATACACCACTGAGAGACAATCGCGAACCCTATAGTGAACACCACTACAAAAAAAATAGCTTAGCGCACGGAGCTGTGAACGTGGGGACATTCCGCTACGCCGACGGTTGCCGAGAGACTGTGAGTGCTGTACCTGGCTGCGGCGATACGGCACGGCCGGGTAGTACAGCCACGCCCCTTTCGAGCTCCCACTCCGCGCGTCTGCGTTTTCTTATCTGACAGTATCACGAAGCGACTCGATGTTTACGTTGACCGGGAGCAGACGCGCGGAGTGGGAGCTGGAAAGGGGCGTGGCTGTACTACCCGGCCGTACCGTATCGCCGCAGCGAGGTACAGCACTCACACGTATCAGTCTCTCGGCAACCATCGGCGCAGCGGAATATCTACGCGTTCACAGTTCCGTGCCGAGCTTTATTCGGTTTAGCTACTTTTTTAGTAGTGGTGTTCACTATAGGGTTCTCGATTGTGTCTCAATGGTGCTTTAGTGCTGTGACGTGGGTGTCAAAAGTGTATCCAAAGTGGAAATTATGTCTACTTCCAACTCTTCTAAGGGAAACAGGATATCTATGAAGCAAACTGGGTGATCTTAGCATACTCATCACTTGTGTGTTAGGGTTGACATCCTATGTTTTTGTGAATAAATGAGAATTTTAATAACGTTGTATAGTAGACGACAACGATATTGTATTCGGTTACATTTTTTGCCGATAGTCATAAAACCGAGAACTGGAGGCATGAGGACAGAGACGGATCTGAAAAAACATTTTCTCTTACAAGTCTGGATGAGATGAGAGATGACTGAATCAAGTTGTTGAAGTAACGTTGATTGCTATTGTAATTAATTATCTAGACATTAGTTAAAAATTCATACTATTAACTAAAATATACACATGTATATGATGGTAGCGATGTCAAAGATGTAAAGTTACTTATCTAATTTGCTATGTTGAGGAGCCACATGCATAAGTAATGGCTGGTCTAATAATCATTTTATATAGGCGAACTTTGTTTATCAAACTCAATTTGGAGGATCTACATAACAATCAATCAACAATCAAATTTATAATGCCTTCTTTCTCACACATTTTAGGTACCTCTTGCCAGTATGGGGTATGTGCGGTGAAGTTAATTTTAATAAAGCTCAAGTTTTACAAAATAAAATTCTGAAAATATTGTTTAATTTTGATTGGCTTACAAGTTCTAATACACTTTATTCAAATTTAAACAAATTAAAAGTGTTATTGGAGGTGGAACAATGTAAACTTGTTTATAAAATTATAAATAATCTACTAAAAAGTAACATAAATATTAGGTTCTACCATAACGTGCATGATCACCAAACAAGATCACTAAATAATGTTTATCAAATTTCCACAAGAACTAATATAGGTTTAAAAAATCCGATCACAGACGCAATTAAGAAATTTAATAATTTACCTCATTCTATAAAAGATTCAAATAACTATAGAAGTTTTGTTAGAGAACTGAAAGATTTAAAAAATGTTAATGAATTTATTTGTTGAAATTATGAGCAACATTGCAGTGTACCTGTAGTTCATAGATATTGATTATTGTCTTGTTATTCTCGGGGCCAGTGTTTGCAAACACTGATTGGGGAATTATTGTTAAAACTGGTTATACATTTTGTATTATTGTGTTTAAATAAATTATTTCAAAAAAAGGATATAGTTGCCAAAACGCAATTTGGAATTTTGTTTTCAAGGCTGCTATATGTTTCTGCCAGGTCGTGCCTTTATCAAGGGTAACACCGAGGTACTTGGCAGAATTTGTCCATGGTATACGATTGCCGTCTACAGACACCTCTGCTGGGGGCCGCGACGTTTTTTGGTACAATAAATAGCCTGCGTTTTCGAATGATCGATTTTAATCAGCCACCGTTCCGCCCACTCCAGTACTTCGTCCACCGCACTCTGCAACCCATCGTGAACCAGATCACCAGTACATGACTGGGCGACAAGTGCAGTGTCGTCAGCATAGAGGAAGACTTCACAGTTGCTGGGGCAAGGGACATCATGGATAAAAAGTGAATAAAGGATTGGTCTGAGAACCGAGCCCTGAGGAACTGGTCGTGTTGTTGACAAAACATTGTTAATTTTGATCCGAAACTTCCTTCCTTCAAGAAAAGATTACAGTAATTTTAGAAGCCAAAAAGGGAAACCCTTTTGGATTAGTTTATAGAAGAGGCCCGCGTGCCACACCTTGTCAAAGGCTTTTGAGACATCCAAAAGCAAGATGCCAGTACTCATGCTGAAACCTTTGGTTACATGTTCGATCTGCCTGTAGCTCGGACCGGAAACTGAATTGAACGTCAGGAATCACACGGTGATTTGACGAAAAATTCTCAAGGTGGCAGGGAAGTACTGGATTCTGAGCATCGCATTGGTTATGGTCACAAAATATGTCAGAGCTTTCGGCGAGAGCAGCTTCAACGAGTTTTGCTATGATTTGATAAATCTGGTGCCAATTATATATCATTTGTCCGACTACTGGTAGTGTCCGGGTTACTGACACATTCGTTAGCAGAGGATTTTTGATATTCAGTAAGCCATCGTAGATATTTAAGAACATATTATTTTTCTCTAATCCTGTTTTTAAGACTATTAAAAATTATCCATTAATCATATAATAGATCTAAAAGAGCTATATTTATCACTAAAAAAATTTGCATTTATGCGCAATTTGACGAAAACCAACAAGCAACAAATGTCATTCAACTTCAGGTAAGATGCAGAGTTAGCCTACTTGACACCGTTTGTAATACCAAATTTCAGTATTTCGTTTTAGAATGACTCTCATTTAACTAATATGAGTTAATCTGTTATTTAAAAACTGAAACAGAGTACTTTAAAAAGGATGAATATCACAATATGATTTATCTATATTTTTGCCATAATATTTCAGTAACTGCAGTAGGTACCTCTGATATCACAGACATTAATAATTAAAATAATCCATATTACCTTATAATAGACCTAATAGAAACATGTCTGGAAGAATTCTCAGAACTGAGTTCGAGGGTCGGCCAACTTGAAATCCTAGAAAAACGTCTGTCGTCTGGTATGCAATGTTGCAATTGTTTTTAGCAGTCTGCGCGTGCCTTTTACACGGATCTTTCGGGAGCGTTACTTTCAGTGTTTTCAAAAGGCCGCAACCGGAAACATGTGCTCGTGGCATGTAGATTAAATGATTGTCAGTTTTTGTAGTGGTTTGCTCCTTTGATTACTGGAAGAATGAAGGAAAACTTCAGAGGTCCCGCGGAAGTTTTACACGGGCTCTCCGGCAGCGCTAATTTCTGTGTTTTCAGAGAGAAAACTCAGTCGTACCTAGGAAAATCTGCTAGTGGTATGTGGAATAAGTGCTTGTGAGTGCTTGTAGTGATTTGCACCTTTGGATTACGGGAAGAATGAAGAAAGACTTCGCAGATACCGCGATACTGAAATGGCGGGAAAATGGTAAGTGCTAGTTTTTTTTACTTTTATTTACTGGGTGTTGACTTTTTTTGAAATTTGCTTATACTGCGTAGTGTGCACCAGAATCAGTTGAACTCAAAACAGTAAAATGATATATCAGAAAATCGTTATAAGAGGTATCTACATTGAAATTCCATTACACAATGGAAAAAAGACTGTTGACTTGACTTTCACAAAAAAAAATGGTAGTAGTAACGATAACACCCTCACGGGTATCATGTAAAAAACCTACAAAACGTCAAAAAAAACCTATAACATGTCAACTTGCAGACTATAGAGTATAGGTAGTTTTTAGGGCGCAAACAGTCATTCCACGTTTGCTCACTAGGATCGTTGTGAACGTCCATCTATGAAGGAATCGCTCGACTAACTACACGCATTATTGGTTGCATAGTTTTGTGAGGCTGAGTGATCCGTGTCTGTAGTTTTTATCTCTGAGAAGAAAGTTGGGTGAATAACAAGATCGCACTGGATGATTATGTGTATTGGTCTGCATGTGTATAAAATCAGTGATATTTGCTGTGTGAGCAAATCATTACTGAATATGCTGAATATGACGGGTTATTTATATGTTGTGCTTTCTGAAGAGAGGTTATGTTCAAAGTTATAAATTACGAAAAACTGAGGAGAATTACGGGAAATCATAACCGCGCCCGCGTTGTGTGTAATTACTGTTAGCATGTATATGGCTTGTAATTCGACAATGTACAGTGAATATAATTATTTCTTATCTCTCTCATTTTTATTTGAGACAAGAACCCAACGTAATTATCATCAACACATACAACTTACTGCTTAGACCTCCTGTAATGCCATCTCAGAAGCAGATTTTCAATCATGTCAGAGCCAAATATTGATAACAAGCCTCATGACGTTTAGGCAACACGTACAACAAGGTGCTAAGTTAACGTCTTGGCGAAAAACCTACATAATGTCAAAAAACCAGCATAATGTAAAAAAAAAATCGGCATAATTTTCAAGAAACCTGATGTGCCGCATAACACATAACTTTGACAAACGAAATGTCATATTGCAAACTAGGTACTGTAGTTTTTAGTGTGCAAATAGTTGATTAGACGTTTGTTTGCTATTCGTATTACTCTAATCCTATTAGACGAAAATAACCCTGGTTTGCGAAATAATTGTAAAGTCTGGTTTTATCGATGCAAGTTGTTTTAAAACATGGACGCATAAAATGGGCACATCAATTTTTGTGGGAAACTTTTTATTCAACATCAAAGAATGAGAAAACGTGTTTTTTTTTGCGATTCAATCGAAAGTGTTGGCAGGAACGAAGAAACTCTTCTGATAAGATTTTTAGGTATTTATGAGACCTACAGAATGAGATCACACGTAAAAAGATCCACTAACAGTGAAAAAGTTATGACGCAGGCAAAATGCAGGTTTTTGGACTTGTTGCTAATGCGACGATAATTTCACACACCCACTCGAAATTCTTAAAATACATAGGCTTTATAGGTCTAAATAACCACAACAAAATTGCATGTGCTAAATTTCTGCGTTATTGATGACTTCATGACTTTGCCAAATAAGTAGGGCACGTAATCCAGTTTTTTACGAAGAAAGGAAATTCCCTGAACCTTTTTTCTAAAAGTATTAATACTTTGTTTTCGAAATTTCGTACGATTAAAACTGCTGCGATTTCAAAATGTTTGAACATAAGGTCGGGAAAACGAGAAAAACAGTAAAAAAATATCAACCAATTGTTATTATTGTTACTATATTAATATTTCCTTAGCAGTACGTCACATTATATATTAATCGATACAGTTGTTTATGCTAGAACTTATCGGCGAGACCTCGTATCCGTAACCTGTGTTTTTATGTGGAATGTTGGATGTCAATGATACGGAGCGAGGGATATTGTTTGAGTTAGTTGATAATTAGACATTGTATTAAGCGAATGTAATTTCGGAACATATTGGAATAATTCGGCATACCCGTGTTTTCTTACACAATTGTAGCGAACTGACCGTCTGAAAATGCTCGGTATTAGTCCCTGATACATTATTTAAAGTTTCAGCATTGTATCTTGTATGGTTTTCAAGAGTACTTTTATTGTTTTTAACAGATTTTATATGCCTTTAGCATTCGCTTGACATTTGTCAGTGTCAAGTATAGCAGTATAGAAATGAAGATCCAGTAAACCAAGAGGCGGTTTTATAACCGCAAGTTTGAATCCACAAAGCTTCTTTTTTCTTTTAGATTCGGAGAAATAAATGCATTTTCACCTTATGTGTACTTTTATTGCGATCAAACAGTGGTTCGAATTATTGTTTATATAAATATTTTTTATATTACTTTGTTAAAATGCGCTTTAATCGAACCCTGTATATTGCTCAGTAAACTAGTAGTGATGGCCGGAAGACAGGTGTTTTGGAATAAGCAATTAGAAATTCTCAAAAACTACTTGACCAATCGACTTCAATTTTGTTGTGGTTATTTATAAGTACGAAGCCTACGGGTTTAAAGAATTTCAAGAAGCTGTGTGAAATCATCGTTGCATTAGCAACAAGTGCCCAAACCTGTAATTTTTCTCGGTTTTCGGCCATAACTTTTTTACTATGTCGGATATTTTTACGTGTTGTCTCATTCTAAAGGCCTCATAAATACATAAAAATTTTATTTGAAGAGTTTCTTGGTTCCTGATAACACTTTCGGTTGGATCCCAAAAAACAGGTTTTCTCATTCTTTGTTGCTGAATAATAACTTTTACCCACAAAAATTGGTGTACCCATTTTAAGCGTCCAGGTTTTAAATACCCTCTTGAACAAGTTGCATCAATAAAACGTCTTCACAATTATTTCACAAACCAGGGGTACTTTGGTCTAAATTTTAAATCTACTGGTGTTTGTCCTGTTTTAGACTTTAATGAGAAATCTACCAAAGAAACTCTCAAATTCTTGAATAGAGCATTTTTTGTGTAATTCAACAAAACGTCTACCAAAAAATTTCACGATCTACCTAAAAATTTCGCAAAAATCTATCGAAAACAGATCGAATATTACTGCCAAGAATAAAACACCTTGTTCTTCTGGAAAACCGTCTATTTTTCTATGAACCAAGCTTTCATACTATATAATATAGTTAATTCGAATATATATATATATGATAATCTTGTGGCCGCCACTGCCCATATTATTAGTAATATTATTTGGAATGCTCTCGCCAATCAAACTGTAACTGACTTGAAAATAATATGAACAATGGGACTACGAAATACACAAGGTGAAACGCCCAACTTTAACTAATGTAAAAAATTTTGCTGATAAATATTGACTACATTCCGCAAGAACCTCCAGGACATCCTCCAATCGTTGGTTGGTTGATGTCGCGCATTGATCTGAACCGTGGTCCGCTGCCGCCACCGCCACCTCCAGGCCTACAAAAAGATTTCATTTTATACAGCGCTTGACAAAATATTTACATGCAGCATTATTATTTGTGACTTTGAGTGAAGCGAAATATGTCAAAAAGATAAACCGAAGATGTGTAGATCTTGAGTTGCTCACAACCTGAAAGGAAATAGTTTTGTTTTGATTTTTAGTCAAGTTCTTAAGGTTGTGAAGCAGTTGGTGAGGTAATATCATGAAACTTTTAGAGGAATTAGATTAAATTAACCCCATTATTTCTCTTTTTCACGAGAATCCATCACAGTTGAATGACAGCTGATTATTCAGTGTTATTTCAAAATTCCCCATCTCGAAAATCTCTCTGAAAAAGTAAGAATTTCCCATTTCAGAAAGACTGCACTCACGAGAAGTTTTGCCACAATTTCGTGCATCAAGGGGATAAAAATGCAGATAATCTGGGGTCAGCCAATTTAGGAAAAGTTGACAAAATTAGTGAATCCTTTACTGTTGAAACAATAGACTATAAATCATCTATACATGAAAAATGTTTAAAGATAAAAAATCCAGTTTAATTTCTGATGTTGGTATGCTAGTGTTCAATGGTTTTGTCAAAAATTCATAACTATAGTTGGAATTGACTGTATCTGTTCTACTTATTGTTAAAAAATTGAATAATTCAAATGATCACCTTGCTTTGAAAATGACTTTTATTGCAAGGTATACTTTTAAAAATATTTCATGGTATTGGGTGTTTCATAAATAGCTCTCTGAATATCTAGTTGTTTTTAAATGACTATTTCAAAGTCTTTTTCATATTGTAAATAACTTCTTTAAAAAAGTTGATAAGGAATTTCACTGTTACTATAAGAACCATATATACATGTCAGAAAAAATTCTTTCATGAATTTTTGGGTTATTCCTGGAAATATCTTTTGACTTTTAATGGATTCTCGAGTTATCTTTTTCTAATATACTCATATGCCTTAATTATTGCTCTAATTTGACAAACCTCACATTATTTTATTCCAAATCCAATAATGTTATTGAAGGTCTTCTGTATTAATCATCAAACTTTGAAACCAAGGTTACAATTTATAAGAAAAAGCAGCAATGGCAGAAAGGTTTATCTTTACAACATATACGCTGTGTTAAATGCTGAACATTGGCCTCAGCCTATAAAATGGCCTTTCATTGGACTTTTCTACACTTAAAACTTTTTTAGTATGTTTCAGATCTTTGAAAGCATGTGTGCCAGTGTTGTTTGTGCCATAAAACGAAATCTATAATACAAAAAAGATTTTCATTTAATAATTCTTATAGATAAAAACAAAGTGTTTCCTTTTGATTCTACGATTATCATAATTCTAACTAAACTGTTGTTACCTGCCGCCTCCACCACCACCACCACCTCCGCCGCCACCCCAGCTGCTTCCTGTACCTCTTCCTCCTCCAGAACTCTTTGAACTGCTACCAGAACTACCTGTGTCAAGTCCTACCATAGTTTTGAAGCTAAAAGATGGTTTTTCGAGTAAAACTGTTCAATAATTAGAATTGCTTATGACTTACAATAATACGAAGAATGTTACCACCCCATTCAATACTTTGAATATTCTGTTTATATTCCAAGGAGGGCTATCAACCACCACACCGTCTACAAAAGAACATCGTTTATGATAAAAGTTCATAATTAATTACATTCAAATACTTACTATTTACATAAACCATCTTGTTTTGTGGCTTCTTATTTATTACTGGTAATTGTGAAAATGCGAGTACACATTTAAGTTTGTTAAACACTTCAACAAAATAATACACGTCAGATTTCAATCAAGTTCCGTTTTCCAGAATTTACAATTTGCTAAACAGGGTTGCCAACACTTCGGTAATCAAATCTACTAAATCACACTGCCAGATCTACCAGAAATCTACTAGATGAAAATTATGAATTTCATAAATCTACCAGAAAATCTACTAGTTATAGCTAACTCTCATTTTGCAGTTAATTACGTTTTAGGTTTTAAAGGCGTGTGCGCATATTATGTATTTTTAGTTTTTACTCTAATTTAGATTTTTGGACATATATTATTTCAAATTAGTAATACTATATTGTGAAAATATATTTTGTAAATATTAAAGATAAAGGTAAATCTATAAATAAAAGCAGAACATTTAGTAATATTGCAAAAATATATTTTATCTAGAAACGAAACAAAAATAGACGCGTTAATTTTAGTCCTTGCACGAATAATAAAAAATACACTTTCTAAAAATAAAAATAATTCACTATTAATACAGTCAAACAAATCTTGCGTTTTCCTTATGCTTTTTGGATTCACCATGGCTCTTAAGGTCGGCGTAATGACTCGTAATTATTTTACTACAAAATTTGCATTTAGCTTCCCTTCCTAAAGTGCTGTCAATAACCAACAGCCATTCTTTTAAACTAGGGTCCTTTAACCATGCGTCTCGAAACTTTTGAGTATATTGCGGTTTAGGCATGGTTCTGTAATCTGTAATACATAATAATTCAAAGTAATCTACATCATATATGTATCAGTATCATGCTCACTTACCAAAATCAAATAATTAGGCAGGCAGTCTTAAAATAGCAGAATAGTATGCTATAGCTACTAGAAAGCACACAAATTATACTGTAAATAATGTTCAAAAATCACCTAAATCATCGTATACGAGATAAACTTCAATTGTCTGTGCAAGAAAAAACAATGTCTGTGATTCCCGTGGATGATGCTCAGAACGTGACGTGATCAAATCACGTGACTAAAAGATGGCGGCTGAATTTCTCGCGCCATCTACCGAAGGAATTGGCAAACATCATGCAGTTAGTGATGTGCAACCCCAATAGATGTCCCAAAACGAGGCGCAAAATCGTTCATCTGACTTTCATACCCCTGATTTCCGACAAAGGAGAACTAAGAGAAGAAGTACGTATACGCAAATTAATTCATTGGTTCTGCCATCTATCGATTCGATGTTCAACTAAATCAAAATAGGATATTTCCCAATGACAGTTTGCTACTTTCTTGAATTATTACTTCAATTGACAAATTGACATGAGTAACTAAGGTTCATAATGATATAAATCGAAAGTGGCTTACTAATTATTCTGATTCTTTCATTCTACTGGATTTTCTACCAGCCACTAAAACGTAAATTTTCCCACTAAATGAAGACTGCAATCTACCAGATCTAGTAGAAAATCTACTAAGTTGGCAACCCTGTTGCTAAACGTCAAGGATTTAGACAAATTAGACAGTCAAAATCAGCTGATACTCTGCAGAAAACTTCTCATTTGAATATGATATTCGTTCACGGAATGCCTAACAGATGTCACAAATATAGCTGGACTTACGAGACGCACAGGACTGAAATTTTTCGTTTTAACCATTGACAATTGGGATTGTTGTCTACGTTTTCGGTAATCGATGTTCAATGTGATGGCGATTGATTAGATTATATAGATCCCAAACTCGTACTGGAATGTGGAAACAAAACATGATCTGTCTCACTAGTAATCCAGTTCTATCGCTTCATGACAAATGACAACGACGGATTTGAAATTGACATATCCACCTGTCCGCCATCTTTCTGTAAAAGTTGCCGAGCGAAAAAGAACACGCGGTCTCCAGTGAAAAAGAAATTGTAATAAAGTAAGTAATTTCCTTCTTATTATGATATCTTTTATAGCTTTTTATATATGAGACTTATTTTTGTTACATATTAGTGACAAATGTGAATAGGGCTCAGTCCAGATTGTTTATCGATTTGTCTAGTTCAGCAACCAGAACAAGAACTGTTTTGTTGAACAATTTCTGCGCTATAGAGTTCATTCATTCTGCCAACATGTCACTGTGAGATACTACACACCAATGAGCCAGTCTCAACATTATTTTTTGTTTCAGTATGGCGCCCCGCTATGAAATAGCTGTTGGTCTACAAAGGGGCCACAAGACCACCAAAATATCCGAGAAGAACACTCCCAACAAGATTCGTCCCGCCAGGTTGAAGGGGATCCAAACAAAACACACAAAATTCGTTAGAGACCTGATTCGTGAAGTGGTGGGACATGCTCCCTATGAGAAGAGAGCCATGGAATTGTTGAAGGTCTCCAAAGATAAGAGGGCCCTGAAATTCTTGAAGAGGCGTTTGGGAACACACATCCGTGCCAAGAGGAAGCGTGAAGAGCTGTCCAACATCTTGACACAGATGCGTAAAGCACAAGCTACACATAAGTAGATCTTGTATGTAACTTTTTCTATTTGGTAAATACATTGTTAAGGTACATGCTTGTTTCATTTCAACATCATTTCTTGTTCTATATTGAACAACTTACAAAATATAATGGTAGGTTTAGGAAGCTTTAGATACTGGTATTCTGTGAGGTTTCTACAGTTAAATGAAAAGGCAGTTGAGGACATCAGAAGTTTTTTCTTGATTATCAGAGCAAGAATTAAGGGGTCTATTATTGGGAAATGATTTAAAGATGTATTTCTGAAGTTTAGGCATCCATATTAACAACATTAATAAAGTATAGCATTACAATTAGTGAAAACCTGTTTCTTTGTTGAGGAAACTGTCTAATTGCACTTCTGAGTGCTAGTACATATATTTCTATGGCTTTGCTACACATATTTGGCATTTCTAATCTATTTTCATATATTGCCTAATTTAAGAATAATATTTGCACATACAAAAGCTTTATACCACTTGTGATACAGTGTCAATTAATCAATTGAACTCTAAATTAATAAAAGCTGCTGAACATATACAATTTTCTCAGTCATTCTTATCTGATTTTGTAGCTTGTATGTTGAAAAATAAAGCTGTCCACCTTTGCTGATCTAGATGGATTGTCATTACCCAAATGTCAAAATCACCCTCAATACCACTTTCTTTTTAAAGTTCATTTTAAATTATGTGACTTCTTGAATAAGAAAACTGTGGTAATTTTGACTTTCAGGCTAAAGGGCTTGACAAGTCTCAAAATTTGTGAATGGGTAGTATTTTGAGTTATCATTTGGAGAGTTGGTAAATGGGTATAAGTTACGCTTTTGACAAAAATGGGAACCACTAGGTGGGGTACAACAGACTTTTAACCCATGAGTATGATGTTTTTAGTTATCAATAAAACAATACTAATAGTTCTTTATGTTTGCCAAAATTTTGAAAATAATGTATCCAAACAGCAGTGGTTTCACAGGAAAAAATAAGAGGTTGGTCCACGCTTTATAGTCACATTACAGTGAAAGAAAAAAAGATCAATGATCATGAAATTTTGCAGAAAGCAAGTTAACGTTTTTGCCAAATTAGATGGGGTGTTTAATTCTAGTCTAGCAGATGATTAATCTTACTATGCAACACTAGCCAAGTAACTGATACTAGGAAGCATTTTTCTTAAAATATCATTTGATTTGGGGGCCCTCCATCATCCAGTGCCTTGTTTGATCATAGGGTAAAGATGGAATAGAAACAAAATGTTTTAGTTTATTCACTAAATGTGTAACAATAATTCATTTATTAAGTCTTTTGGTTTATAATACTGTCAGCATCATCTACAATCGCCTCATCCCATGGCCCATAAATGTTTTCTTTATAGCTTTGATACTTTACAAATAATACAGGACATATAAAAGATATAAAAACTGTTGCACCTAAGAATAAGATTAACATCAACTGACTTATATGATAGAGACAATAACAATTGCCTAAAATTATAATACTACTTATAAGGAAAGGTCTGTTAAATTCATTTTTGAATATCGGAAATAACACAAAGACTTCTGTAGAGACTGTCATCAAAATGAATGCTTCATGAGCTGATGACAATCTTGAAGCTAAGCATATTGATGCAAAAATCGCTGCACTTAATGATAAACTGTATGAAACGATAGCAGCACTGACACCATAGTCAAAAAATATCAAATGAATCACCATCATGAAAAACGTCGTTGTGTAAATTGTGTCTGTACTTATAGTGTCTGTGAGAGTGTGCAAAACTGGGGAAAATAGCTGCCCAAAAACTACAAAAGTCAGAACTGTCCTTAAATCATTGCCTAGTTTTTGCTTGATGCTGCGGCTGAAGCAGAGCAAGTAGTATAAGAACCCACAAACTGTAGTGATACTAGAACAGTTCAGAATGTTCGAGGACTCGACCCACTTATTTACCATGAAGACATACACGATTGTAAATCCAACTACCGTAGAAAACTCTTGTAATAGCAAAACCGACCCCGAAAAGGCTTCATAAAAGGAGACTTCCTTTATGTCAATGTTTTTCTGTAGATCCTTGAGAAACACTTTTTTGTCCGTATAGTTGTCTGGGTAAGGCTGTTTTTCATATAAAACCTTCCTCCAAGGCTTTTTTGTGTTCATTTTGCACTTTATTTACATTTAACAAAAGTTAAATAAATATAGCGAAAAAAGTTGGGTTATGTATTTATGACAGTTTTGACATCTGTGAATTTAGGCGTCTTTTAGCGTGTTTTTACCAGAAACTACCAGGTTCTTTCGGTTGGTTGTGACGTCACAGCAGCAAACAGTTTCATTAGATTATTGTAGAGGGCGCCTCGCGATACCGAGGCAGCAGGATTTTTGAGATACATTTGAGGGCGCGTGTTGTGACTATTAGTATTTGTGGTAGAGGGATATCACAAAATATCTGTGGTTATGGTCAAACACCAAAAATTTGCCTCCATTATGGATTTACTTTTGCCTTGATGCCCTTAATTTCATACGAAAGCACGTTAATAAAAAGATACTGTCCCCGCAGTATTTGAGCCTTAGTAGTGGTGTATGATTTATGTTGCTTTGTTCCGTTTTGGTATCCAACTACCGTGGAGGAAAATTTGTTTTGTCATCTTAATGCAAATATATTTGGCCGATGACGCGGATTTGTGGGTATTTCACAGAAGGAAAAACTTTGCCTAACAACGTATAGGAGGCACGCTATTGACTTTGCCGATGGAATCAACTTTGAGTTTTAAGACTGTTATCATAGCAAACTTGGATGTTCCTAGGCGCATTTGTAGACTATGGAATTTTGGGGAGAGCTTGTCTTTGAACAAAATTAGTTTTTGATTTTAGTACCTATGCTATGCATAAAATGAAGGGGAATGTCGGGTATGTTGTACCGGTCTTTAAGTTGTACCACCTCAATATTTTTTGAGCTATAAATTCATAACGCCCACTGTTTAGCTTATTTTATGCTCCTTGGCACAAAAATGTATCTGACAAAAGCGATATCGTTCGGGAATCTTCATATTTGCTGATTTCTCCTTTATAACATGGAAACTGTCGCTCCGATTTGGATGAAATGTTCACGAATCCACTAGGTATTTCAGTGTAGCTTTACTATTTTCAGAATTTGTATATGTATGTATGGCCTGAGTTCATTTACTTGACTCCACTTTACTTTTCATGGCAATTGGTGACTGTCTTGGAAATACTCTAGACATTCAGTGTTACGTGTATGTGAAATATTCATCCTTTTATGTAAATATCTGGCCGATACATATGTTTTTTTTTTCGTGAAGGGGACACTTTTGCCTAACGTATAGGAGGTATCCTGTTGACTTCGGTCAAATCAAATTTGCACATCTCTGCAATCAAGGTTGGCTATACCATGGAGACAAAAAATAAAACAAATGTATACAAAACGACTTCACAAAACGTCTATTTTATTTATTTAATCACATATACACAAGTTATTTACGAATTACTTACAATTATTTGTAAGATCATTTACCACCTAAATCTAAGCAAGCGTACAAAAATAGCACGATCCTATTTTATTAAGAAATTCTTCGCATTTCAAATTAGGATATGATAGGTTAGATATGTAGAACGTTATTTAACAGTACAGCTAGAAATACAGGTAGAAAAAGGTGTGACAGTCGCAGAGTGTCTTCGTATCCACAACAAGCGTCGCTATAGTAACTCTGAAGATCTATTTCATCTGAAACAAAAATATGTTATCATTACTGAGCTTTATGCAAATAACTTACAGGATGGTCAACATAATTTAATCCATCCCCTTATATCAGAAACCAGTCGGTGTATAAAAAAATGTTATATGTATATAGAGAGAGCCAGTTTGAGTGATCATAGACTTAATTTTTTCAAATAACATACGAGTATTTCATTTTCGCGTTCTGCAAATAATTTGGAATATAATTTTACAATATTCGATTTGAAAAAAACTCAGTTTTTTAAATGGAATGCCACATGTACTTTTCATGTGGTCACTTAGATAATTTCCGGCTATTTGGTATATGTAAGCCCTATACCCGCATTTGGCAAAAATACAAAGTGTTTGGAGAAATGTGTGTATTTTTACTGATAGGTACCCTAAAATTTCCTTTTACCCAATTCCTGAAGCCTTAGGTTGAAACCATATTATTTTTCGAAGGCCTGTATGTGGACATACCTTAACAGTAAAATCGCCTCTACATGAATGTTCTTTCAAATACATAAGCCTTACAGTTCATCTAGATGCAGTTCCTAAAATTCTAGATCGGAAACACATTATTTTTTGAGGTCGTTGTATGTGTATGTTTTGCTACTCCGCTTGGTATGGCATGTAGCTAAAAACTTATTTGAAACAAAAAATATACTCAGGATGAAGACGTGAAATTACGTGCAGTGGTGGTACCCATTTTTGTCGGGCTGACTGCCTGTTTCTTTTTGTCACTGCAGAATCTCAGAATTCGCTAAATTCGTTTTGGTTAAAGCTAATAATAGTATTGAATGATCATTTTGCTGACAATTTGGATGGATTACAAATCCCATCAACTACTCACCATGCTCTAAGCTTATTCTTCTAGACGTATCATTGGAATGCCTTTTAGGGTGCACTTCTTGAACCTTTTTACTTGATCCAGAGACAATGTTGTCTTCATATCCTGAAAATTACGCTAGTGCAATAAGAAACGAAACTGGTACTGGATCAGCATGAATTCTATTGATCTATTGGGTGCCAGGTAAATAGGTGTAAAACATTTTAGGAGGTGATAGTACAGCTCCTTTGCTATCAAAATTAGTATACAGGGTTATCCAAATTAAGTGTCCACCATTAGTAACTTTGTTATTAGTGAAAATACAAAGTTGTTTGAATTAGCAAACTAGTAGCATTTTTAACGCTGGTAAAAATGAGAAATAAAAAAAAACAATTGAGAGTCGTTATTTTGATTTTTTTCAGTAAAATAACATTTTTTTAAATGGAAACCCCTGTATATTATATTTTTTTTCTGTTAAAGCATCAAATTTTAAACAAAAAAGCTTACAATAACTTTTCTCCTAGGTTACAAATTGTTGAAGTTATGGCCTCCAATCTGAAACAATTAAATTGTATCGACAAACTTTATTTTCAACATCAACTTATAATCTTACAAAATACAATAACAATTTTTTTTAAAGAAAATGCTCGAAAACACCACCTTGTTCTTCAATACATTTTTGGGCACGTTTTTCAACTGCTCGAACTGTCTTAAGTATGGTCCTACCATCTATCTGGGTTATCTTTTCCCTAACTGCAGTCTTTAACGCGTCAAGGTTATCGTACCTTCGCTTGTAAATTTGGTTCTTTAAGTAACCCCACCTGAAGTAATCAAGTGGGTTTAGATCTGGTGATCTGGGAGGCCACTGTATTGGGCCATTTGTTCCTATCCACTGATCATTAAAAGTAGTACTTAGAAAATGATAAGTACCTCTGGAGTTGTGGGCAGGTGCGCCATCTTGCTGAAAATGCAGATGATGTCTACTTATAAGATCCAATTCGTCTAAGAAATTAGTCAGAATTTCTGACATAAATTCCACATATCTTTCACCAGTTAGGGTTTCCTCATAAAAGAACGGGCCAACAATTTTTGAACCAATTATACCGCACCAAACGTTGAAACTGAAACGGACTTGTGGGCCTCTTGGATGTACTAACAAAAGATTTTCTCTTGACCAATAATGGTGGTTTTTTCTATTAAACATTCCAGAATTTGAAAAATTTGATTCATCTGTCCATAAAAGGTAACGAAAGTTATTTACATTTTGGCGACAGAAGCTAAGATACCAATGGCAAAAAACAAGTCTTCTCTCTGGATCCCCTGCCAAAAGCGTTTGAACTGGTCGGTACTTATACGGAATAAATTTGTATTTTTTTAAAATCCTTTGAACAGTACCATAACTGAAATTAGAGTCCTTGAGAATATCTGCTATTGAATTCTCACGATAAGCTTCAAAATATCCAATAACTGCAATTTCCGTGGCCTCGCTTATTATGAATTCTTTTTTTGCCCTTGTTTTAGCAAAAACATTTTCGTTGCCCCTAAATTTTCGATAAAGTCTCAGAAAATATCGTTCATACGGTTGAATGCGAGCGGGATATAATTCACTGTAGTATTCTCTTGCTCTCAAGGAGGATTTTCTGCACACTAAATAGCATTCTAACATATCACACTTTTCTTCATGGGAGAACATTTTTCTTTAAATTAATGACACAATAAAGCTTATAAACAAGTATTTACACTAATGTTTGACATTATTTGATTTTATCATTGTTTTCCAAAGCCTTCTAGTTGCGAGTATGTCCAGTTTAACAATTTGTCGCTTATCTTAATGCTGTCAAATCGCGAACGCCATGTTGTTTTCATAGCCGTCTTAATATTATAATACTGCAAATAATTAAAAATATTTATCGTTATTTTGACTTTATTTTTGACTTTAGCGGAAAAGTCATTATGAACTTTTTTGTTTAAAATTTGATGCTTTAACAGAAAAAAATATAATATACAGGGGTTTCCATTTAAAAAAATGTTATTTTACTGAAAAAAATCAAAATAACGACTCTCAATAGTTTTTTTTTATTTCTCATTTTTACCAGCGTTAAAAATGCTACTAGTTTGCTAATTCAAACAACTTTGTATTTTCACTAATAACAAAGTTACTAATGGTGGACACTTAATTTGGATAACCCTGTATAATACCATACCCTATATTCAAAGGTTAAAAAGTTATGGAAGATTTAATTTTTTTTAAAAAACAACCCAGATTACAGAGTAAAATAGTTGAGATAAAAAATAGTTGGTGATTAAACATTATTTTTTTGGTGGTTTCAGGTTATTATTTAAATAAATAATTCTCATAAATTAAAAAATATATGAAAACACTACTGAAAACGTATTTATTTTCATTTAAATGTTAAATGAAAATTTTTATTTTCAACTTTCACATTAAGAAGTCTTTTTTTTTCAAAAAATCATAATAAAGAAAATGTACAAATAACTGCAACTTCCTCGTTTCATTAGGTTTCTAAAATTGTATAATACCATATCAGTAAGTAAACCATTTAACAAAACAATATTACTTTGCTAGAAAGGACCGCTAAGCGCATTTCATTGTACTGAGGAGGTAAACCGAGCCTTTCATGGTTCGACCCTTTTTGTTATTTTTTGTGCCCTGTGCCGTTATTCGGGTTTAAGTATTCGGAATCTGTCGTCGCTCCTCGGAAGCAAGCTCTGCGTGTGTTATGAATTGACACAGCTGAAGGATCAAGGAAAGGGAACTAACGCTTAGGTTAGTTAGTAGAATATCAACTTTTAACGTGGTAGGAGGTACTTTTACTTTTTTGATCAGTTTTAATAATGGCGAGTTACCGTAACGAAGAATACGCTGATATTCTGTTTTGTTATTGTTTAAGTGATGGAAATTCCGTTGAAGCCAGGCGAGAATACGAAAACCGTTTTCCGAATCGGCGAATACCGAGTCGTAGAGTATTTGCTTCTGTGTACCAACGCGTCAAGGAAAGTGGGCAGGTTCATGAGAGACGTCATGATGCTGGTAGACCTCGGTTGTTTGTGCTACGGCAGAGACCCGACGACGTCTACGCGAGTTATAGCAAAGCAGCTTGGTTGATTTTCGGCAAACGTGTGGATGGGAATCATTCATACGTACCTATCTAATTGGACCAGTTTTTTTGCCTGACAACCTGGATGGCGAATCCTATGAAAACTTTTTGAGATCCGAACTCTGGGAGTATCTCGAAGACCTTCCTCTGAATATCAGGTTGCAGATGATCTACCAACACGATGGCTGTCCCGCGCATTTCCGTCTGGGTGTTAGACAGTGGCTGGACGAGAAATATCCTTGTCGCTGGATTGGCCGAGGTGGACCGACACCGTGGCCAGCGAGGAGCCCAGATTTAAAACCGTGTGACTATTATTTATGGGGGCACATCAAGTCACTGGTGTACGCTGAGCCGATAGACACTCTTGCACAGTTGAAAGAAAGAATTATTGCTGCTGCTGACACTATCAGAGGACAACTAACCGGCCGCATCACGCGTACCAACATGAGAAAAAGACTACGGGCTTGCATAAGAAACGGCGGGCGTCAGTTCGAACAACAATGGCAATGAATTTTACCTTCATTCCATTATAGTATTTTACTTACCAATTGTAGTAACTTTTAGTCAGTTTTTATTATTCTGTAGTACAATTACAACTGTGTAAATAATCTAATCGTGTAACTTAACCGTAGTTTAAAATAATAACTATCCCATAGCTTACGGTTACATTATTTTCACAAAAACACTTTCTTATCAATCAGAGAGTTGTGAAAATAGGAGACAAGCCATTGGTAAATTTACTCCCTATTGTTGTATTACAATACATTATGTTTAGTTTCACACAGTTTTTGTGCACTTATCATACCAATTTAGATTCCGTATGAAACAAGGATATTATTTAAATTGTTTGTACGTTTTTTTGTATACTGATATTTTTGTAAAACACCTTACTTACTGTAAAACGTTATTTGTTTCTCTTAGTTAAACATTTTTGAATGAAAATAAATACGTTGTTTGGTATTGTTTTCGAATCTTTTTTAATTTATAATAGTTAATTATTGAAATAATAACCCAAAATCACAAAAAAACAAATGTTTAATCGCCAACTTTTTTCTCTCTCGACTTTTTTACTCTGAAATATGGATTGTTTTTAAAAAAATCTTAAATCTTCAATAACTTTACAACCTTTGAATATACTAATATACTAATTTCGATATGCAAAGGGGCTATACTATCACCTCCTAAAATGTTTTACACCTATTTACCTCTCACCCTGTATAAACCACGAGTGAAACAGGTATTCTTAACGCCTATTTTTTATTATTGACCCTACCGCAGTATATCCTAGAAATGGCTAGTCACTTCTCGGACCGAGTGACTGCCCGAAATTCCGCTATGATTACATTTGGACATTTTAAGCGATTCTCAGGTGTGAGCAGTCTCCATTGTCAAAGTTTCTTGCTTAGGTACAACGATATTCTCAAAAGCTTGCTTCATAGAAGTCTGTTGAGATTTGAGTGCCGTTTGACGGTTGATCTTCCTTTGGACGTTCAAGGAAGGATTTAATTTTTGCATTGCATGTCAGATTTGTCTACTAGCCGAATCTATATATTTAACATATTGATGACAATATGTGGGTTGAAATAATTCATTTTTGTGTTAAACATTGCTAAGCAATGAAAACTAGTAATGTAATTGTTGCATTTATAGCGGAATCAGGACCTGTAGACTGTTCATGTAGGCAACCAGTACTATACCGAACTTGTGAGGGTTATAGATTGTAGATGTAGATCATTTCTGACAGATTCAGCGTACAGCGTTCATACAGTATTTAAAAAAAAAATTCAAATCCTTCATAATCATTTCTTAATGTGTAACACCGTAAGGAAAAAGAGATTTAACAAGGCACAGAAAATGCATCTGATCGAGATACTGAACAAATTTAAGGGATCGTTGAAGCTAAAAGAAAAAAAATGGTAGCCGAAAACATTGAATCCATTTTAAAAGCTGCCTTTTTATGAGAAGGGCATAAATATTTGCTGTAAATAGTGCAACTTCTGCATTGGTTTTTTATAACGGTTCAAATAACAAAAATAGAAAATTCTTCTCATATAATATATACGTTTTTTCATGAGATGACATTCTATACATTTTTTACGTAATATCCCAGCACAGAGTTCGGTGTGATACTAGTTGCCTATACGTACAGTTTACTGCCTTTGTTTCCACTATAAATCCGAGAAAGCGAATATATAACTATTTTTGCATAGATTAGTAATAATAGGTGATTTTTTTGCTAGTATCTTTTTGGAAACACTGTTTTTGACAGATGACACGTGAATCGTGCCTTGTGTCATTGTCAAACTTTTTCAGTTCGGTCTATAATTTAACCATGAATCGACTTACGAACGAACAACGCTTGCAAATTATTGAATTTTACTATCAAAATTCATGCTCGGTTAAGAGAGTGCATCGAGCACTGCTTCCAATTTATGGGCAATTTGGTCGGCCTACTCAGGGAGCTATTCAGAAGCTTGTGACTAAATTTCGAACCCAGTTTACATTATTGGACATTAAACCACCAACACAGAGACGTAGAGTGAGGACTGAAGAAAATATTGCGGCTGTATCCGCCAGTGTTAGTGATGACCGTGAAATTTCGATTCGCCGCCGTTCGCAGCAATTGGGCCTCTGTTACTCCACTACGTGGAAAATTTTGCGACAGGATTTGGGTGTAAAACCTTATAAGATACAGCTGGTGCAAGAATTGAAGCCACACGACCTCCCTTAACGTTTCCAATTTGGTAAATGGGCGCTGGCAAAGTTGGAGGAAGATCCACATTTTTATCGAAAAATTGTGTTCAACGACGAAGCTTATTTCTGGTTGAATGGGTACGTTAACAAGCAAAATTGCCGCATCTGGAGTGAACACCAGGCAGAAGCATTGCAAGAGCTACCAATACATCCCGAAAAAATCACTGTTTGGTGTGGATTATGGGCCGGTGGCATCATCGGGCCGTACTTCTTCAAAGACGACAATGGCCGGAACGTAACTGTGAAAACTTTTGTTTGCCCAAAATGGAAGAGCTGGACTTGGCTGACATGTGGTTTGAACAAGACGGTGCCACATGCCACACCGCACGAAACAATGGCCCTATTGAGAGGCGAGTTCGGTGAACAGTTTATCTCTCGTTTGGGGCCCGTCAATTGGCCGCCTAGATCGTGTGATTTAACGCCGTTGGACTATTTCTTGTGGGGCCATGTTAAGGCTAATGTCTACAGGGATAAACCAGCAACGAGTGACGCACTGGAAGCCAATATTGAAGCATTTATTCGTGAGTTACCTTTCGATATGTTGGAGAGAGAGTGCCAAAATTGGACCTTGCGCATGGGCCATCTAAAGCGGAGCCGCGGCCAACATTTACATGAAATAATCTTTAAACATTAAATTATATCGACCGTTCTATCGATTCAAATAAAGATTTAATCGTAAAATTTTTTGTGTTTTTTTTTGAAAATCAAATCCTATACCTCTTAAAAAGTCAGCCTTTATTTAGCACGAAAACAAAGTATCCCCAGATTCATAAAAATGCTAAACAAATACGGTCAGTAAGGAAACATGTTTCTGACATCGATGACAGCCTGCGATGACATGTGTTACAACCTACTGTGAATATAAATGTTATATCCTATCTTGAACGTTCATCAAGGAAGCGTTATTGTTGCTTTGTTTCCAAGGGCGAATAACCAATCAAACGGCACTCAGCTCTCAAGGTTCCTTTATAAGTGTGACTCTAGGTCCCGCTTTTGAGTGTTTCTTCTCGATAGGGTACTTGCAGTGGACATTTATTCGCACTTTGAGTACGTTTAACGGATAGGAAATATGTTTAAATGCCATAGAGAACAAAAAGCTGTTGCTCAAATAAAGAAATTAGCAATATTGAATGAGGCTTTCTTTGAACTGTCACGTGAATCAAAATCGGTGCTGACGTCATTAGGTGTGCGCGATATCCAGAATCGAATCCAGTAAAATGCAACTGATACCCATCCCTAGGTCAATCTCAAATCTCTGACTGCTATAGACTTAACATTTGACATCACTTTAGTATATCAGTGATGCCAGAGGTTGTTCTTGCGACATCTTTTCCTAGTTAAACTAATTTTCTAATTTTTCAGATAGATCGCGTGAACAGCTTCAAAAACAAGAAATTTCCATATTACAATATTTATTAATAATATACTAAGTGACATATAAATCCGAACACCCAGTTTAAATGGTTTTATTTTAATAAAATTTTGTGTAAGTACTTAATGAAGCATAATAAGTAAATGATAAAAATTTCAAAATGATTGCACTGCTTTAAAGAACTTTGACCTTTAATAATGTGTGGATGCACCCTGATGTGCTACGCATTCTCCAACGCGCCTAGGCATGCTTCTGATCAGGTGGTCAATGTCCTCCTGTGGTATCTCATTCCAGGCAACCACCAACTCCTCTCGAAGTGCTTCTAGAGTCTGAGGAGGACGTTGCAAATTGAGCAATCTCCTACCCATCATATCCCACAAGTGCTCAATTGGGGATAAGTCGGGAGATCTTGGTGGCCATGGTAACAATGTGACATCATTATGTTGAAAGAAGTCTATTGTGACTCTTGCAACATGTGGTCGGGCATTATCTTGTTGGAAAGTTGGATCTGCCAGGGTGTCAAGATAGGGTAAAAGATGGGGTTCTAGAACTTTGTGGATATAACGCTGCGCGTTCATGTTACCTCTGATGAAGATTAAAGGTGACCTGGAACCATAAGCTATAGCACCCCAAACCATAACTCCAACAGTGTGATGAACATGTCTTTCAACAAAAAACCACGTCGCCTTCTAACCCTGGCACGACCATCGTGCATGCCTAAACAAAATCGAGACTCGTCACTAAAGACAATACTGTTCCATTCCTGATCCCAGAGTGACCGTTGTCTGCACCACTCAAGGCGATTACGTCGGTGTTCTCGAGTTAAAGGGAGGACCCTGTGTGGCCGGTATGAAAACAAGCCAAAACTTCTCATTCGTCGGTAAACACTTCGCATGCCAATAGGTCTTCCGTGTTCTGCAAACCATTCATTTGCAATGGACTTGGTAGTGGAGAAACGATCCCTTAAGGCCAATAATCTTAGGCGGCGATCTTCACGGTCTGTTGTTCTACGGCGGCGTCCAGTGCCCCTTGCTCTTTGCGTACGGCCTTCTCGAAGCCATGCCTGACAACACCTAACCACAGTGTCTACACTTCTTTGCACTCTAACTGCAATTGCCCGAAAAGAAAGTCCAGCTTCCCGAAGTCCCACTATACGGCCCCTATCAAACTCACTAAGTTGACGAAATCGTACAGGTCTCCGTACTCTAGGCATCGTAACCGATCGTAAAGGATGTCAAGAACCAAAATCCGCCAACGTTGATTCTTTACTGCGGCTGAAATATTCATTTTTAGAGCGTTAGTGAATTAAAAAAAAAACAGTATAAAAACCGGAATGTCCAACTGATAAGGCTGAAAATTTTTTCACTTGTTATTTACAGTAAGATAAATACATTCACCAACTTTTATTAAAATAAAACCATTTAAACTGGGTGTTCGGATTTATATGTCACTTAGTATATAATGAACACCCTGATAAAACATTTTTGTGTATGAAAGTACCATATTGAGCGATGTAAGATTTGTACAGCACTTCGTCGCACTCAAATCAAAGATCTATGAGATTTCTTCGTGTCGGAATATCCGGGACAACTGTAGATTTCGGAGTCAAAGTCTCAAACTGCAGAGGATTTCATTTTTCAACCGAAATAGCTCTCACTCCGAATATTTACTAGTCATTCCTGGGACTATAACTGCGCTCAGGAATCTTGTTTGGACCTTGTTTACGAGATATACATACCTTGTTGTCGCTTGCCGCTCTGCAGGAATTTATTTGGATCTGGTATCCCTAGAATAGATATTTTTCTGTATACATAGCATGGTTGAATAGTGTCGATCGGATACTTCTGGACGTTGCATACTTATAAATTGTGTTATCGTCATTTTGTTGTACTGAAGGAATGTGCCGTGGAGCTCACTCCATTTCTTTCGCATCTCTTTCAGATGTCTGCGATACTTTCTTAAAGTACTGGGAATTTGTTGGGGTATGTCAAACCACACGGCTTGATTAGCAACAGGCAGTATGGTTTCCGGTACCAGCGATCTGCTTACGTCACGCAAACTCATCCAGTCGTTGCCCTTAAAATCTTACGAAAGGCGTCTGCCACTCATCCTCAAAGCGTCTTTGAGATGTAATTGGAGGGGAGGATCTCTGGTGGTGGTTACCATTCTGCCTGTCGTTGACTCAACTGTTTTAAAACTATATTTGTGCACGTAGTGCAAAAGCAGTCTGTGCATGGAAAAGCAGATACTTTGGTAATGTTCAGCAAGCCATGTAAGAGTTTTTCTAATGAAAATCGCCCGGAAATATCCGATCTGTTGTAATTACGTGATTACTTACTATATACATTAATGGAGCCTTCCATATCTCCTAGAGAATTTTTTGATACACACTTATATATTCCGTAGTCCTCTGGACCTAGTGATCTAATTTTCAGCTTCATGTGTATTTTGTACCCATCTTCTATAATCTCAGGAACATATTTGGTACCTGCAAAAAACAAAAATATCTTCGGATCTCATATTGGTGGGAAAAAGTCTTCTTGATCCCGCGAGTTCCTCTAAAGGTACGTTTTCATCAGTGCTCCTTAGAGATCGTAGCAACTTTCTTGCCTCCCGGTGCCTGGTGAAGTTATATAGGGTGGCCAATATACATATAACTGACTGATTTAAATTGCGCGCCATTTTTGATACACGCGTTTCAGTAGGTGGCGCTGTAGTAGTTGCTTAAAGCACATGTGGTCAATTCATCATGGAGCGCTACACGATTCCACAACGCGTCCGTATTGATAAAACGTTTTACTTAAGTCATGAGTCGATTGTTGCAACAATTCGGGAGCTACCACAAGATTTCTGTCGGAATAATGTGCCCAGTGTCAACAACATTCATTTGGTGCGTAAATTTCAACAAACAGGTGAAGTTGAAGATATGCCAAGGTGGGGCCGTGTTCCAAATGTTCGAACTCCGGAAAGTATCGAGAGAGTTCGTGAAAGTGTAGTGGAGCGCCCTGAGACGTCTACCAGACATTGTTCTCAAGAACTGGGTATTCGTCATTATGCACTATTTCAAAAAAAGACTTTTGCGGCCACCAAGGTCACCGGATATAACGGCTCCTGACTTTTCCTTATGAAGATTTTTGAAAAATAGGGTTTAAGCCAACAAACCAAATACAGCTGAAGAACAATATTACGGAAGCGATTGAAAATATTCATCCCGAAACCTACCAAAAAGCAATGGAAAATGTAATCAAACATGGATATATTTTATTTCATTTCATAAGTATTCAAGATACAAACCAGTCAGTTACATATCGGCCACCTTGTAGAAATGTATTTATCAAAAATCCGGATATTCACTATCTTTAAATAGTTATAATCTGATTTAATTTCGGTGATAAAAATGTTCAGAAATGTGTAAGGTTGTAGGTTGTTTATAGCTGGCATACAAATAAAGAACCGGCATGCGACAAAAAAATGAATGTATGTAACATCTGACTAGACCCCCCTCCCCCTCTTGTTTTTTTACGAACCGGCTCCTCGTTTTCAAGCCTCACTTGATTCATGGACGACCCCTTAGGCAAAGTTTGTTTGGGTTTTCACAGAACTGTTTTGATTTTGCAAATTCAGTCAATCACAGGTGATTCTAAAGCCACAAGCACCGAGAACTGACCCCACCCCCCTTGTTGAAACCGATTGTTCTGAACATCATGGGGTTGAAATTTAGTAAATAGCATGATAACGGCCGTCAAATACCACGCGGAATGTTCGAAGGCGTCATCGAAAATTGGAATACCAGAATGGACCATATTTGAAACACAGTGATTGTCAAGGATGCCTAGCTTTTCATATTTTTTTTAAAGGCTAGCGCCGATCTTCTTAGCCCTTTCCAGCCCAGCGACTCCAATTGGAATCTATTGCCTAAAGCCACGACAGAAAACTGAAAATAAATAGAAATAGAAATCCCAGGCAATATATTATAGCCAATAGATCACAGATGGCGACACGCATACCAGTTTGTGAAATATCGATTGACATTTCGATTTTTAGGTTAATTGAAAGTTTACAGTATTGTGTGTAATAATTATTGTTTTTTCTTGAATAAAATCAAGGTAAGTTTATATTTTATGTGTTTAATATTAATACAAATAGCATTATTAGGTCATTAGTAATACAAAATGAGGTTTTTATTGAAATCATAGTAAAATTGTTGAAACTATGTACTTAGAATGTTATGATGCCAAATGGAATCAGTGGGCCTAACGCCACTTTAATGATCCCAATTGGCGTCAGTGGGCCACTGTAATCTACTATTTTCATATTTTGAATATTTCAGATGCCGACCGTAGGTCGGTGCGTAGTAGGACTTACGGAAGAGGAAGAAAAACACTTGCGGATGTTGCTACAAGGGGACGAGTCGGATTTGGATTGTGTAACCGACAACGATGAAGATGATTTAGATCAAGAAACGTTCCTTCGATTACAAGAGGAATATGATCCTCCAGAACCTTCTCCAGAAGAACTAGTGTTATGTAATTCTAACTTAGAAGTGGATACAGATAAACTATCTGATGAAAATGGACATGAACCTAACAGACAAATGCAACAAGACTTTGACCCTGAAGACGATTTACCTATTATTACGTTTCGGAACCAGCACCCAACCCCTGCTGTACAAATTGCTCCAAAGTGGAAAAAAGCAAATCTTCCTTTCGTAAATTCTGAATGTAACGTAATATTTACTAACGAAAAGGAAAATGATTCAACTCCGCTGTCATATTTAGTAGTAGTAGTAATTTTAAATGTTTACTACTCTTACTACTCTTTTGTTATAACTAAAATTAAATCTAAAATAAACCATTATCAATTTACATTTTTCTTATCTTACGCCCACTGATTCCAAATGGAGTCATCATTTTTTCTCCTAAAAAAAAATTGTTTTCAGAAAAAATCATTTTTACCGTAATTTTTAGACCATAATTACAAAGAAAAAGACAAAAAATTTTTTTTTTGGTAAAAAAAAATTGGGCTTGAAAGGGTTAGAGCCTCATCGTCAATCGTTCCTACAATTATTGTTGGACGCCTCTATGGCCACTGTAGCAATTTTCTGGGTTCTTTTGGGTGTGGATTAAAACACCGAATTCGACAAAAAGAAATGCACTAATTTATTTAACTTGACTAGATACGAGGGATGTCGTTTAAGTTTTGCATATAGAAATATGGTTGGCCGCGCGGATCGAACGTCAGTACTGAATCTTAACCTCACTCTTTAGTAAACTGAAATTCAAAGTTTCACAACAATACGTGCAGTGTTCTCACTACAGTGAATTTTTAAGTGTTACCAAGTCATTAGAAAAATGGAACTCAACCGAGAACATTTTCGCGCCATAATTTATTACAACTTTCAGAGACAATTATCGCAACGAGAATGCCTTGTTGAGCTGTTTTCGGCAACCAAGCGCCACATCAGTCGACAATTTCCCGTTGGTATGGAGAATTCAAACGTGGACGGGTGCTCCAAGGTGAAGAAAAGCCAACAAAAGTCATCCGTTCTCGAAGTGCTTCGAAAAAGATAGTCGCGACATTTGTGTCAAAAGCAGGTCATATTGCAACAATTCCTCTTAATGAGCAGAGAACTGTTACTGCGGATTGGTATACCACCATTTGTTTGCCAAAAATCATCACCGAGCTTCGAAAAATCAACCCCGAATGATGAATCATCCTCCACTAAGACAATGCAAGCTCGCACACAGCCCAAAAAACAAGGCAGTATTTAACGGAAGAAAACGTGGAATTAGTGGATCATTCTCCATATAGTCCCGATCTAAGTCCTAACGATTTCTTTACTTTCCCGAAAATTAAAATCAGACTGCGTGTTCAAAGGTCCAGTCACCAGAAGAAGCAGTTGACGCATTGAAAAATGCCGTTTTGCAAACTAGTGGAATAAGTGCTTCGGAAATTGGTTCGAGCGCATGCAGATGTGCATTAATCTTCGTGGAGAATACTTCGAAAAACAATAAAGCCATTTAAAACTACCTACTCTGTTGTATTATTTCCATATGCAAAACTCAAAAGACATCCCTCGTAGAATATTTACGTACACCACTATTTATGTCAGACTAACTATGTCGCTCCATTGACTGAACTATACTCCACTCTGCTCTACTCTACTCTATTTCCCTCTCCCAGTCGTCGAGTTATATAGTCCGCATGGTTGGTTCTAGATGACTCCGGTGAGCCACATAGTGGCATTCCAGGATCGTCGAGGTCACTTCGCGTCGATCTAGAAGGCGAGTTACTGGCACGGTCCGCAACAGATGTCGCCAAGCGGCATGTGCGGTCGCGATCCGCGTAAAAACAGAAATCGGCCATGAAGCTGTGGCGAGTAGGAGAGTGTGGCGCGGTCCCCAACAGTACCATTCATTCTTGTTACAGCCACCTTGACTTTTTAGATTTGTACTGTTCTGTGACAGTGTGAGGGCTCTCCTAGTAATTTTTTCTTTGAATGAAATTTCAGGCTGATAAAAGAAATGATAAAAACCAAAAGAATGAACAATTTGTTACAAATAGATATTTGTAACATAACCTCAAAACCGAGCGGCTTTCTGGAGGACAGGAAAAGCTATGAAAATCAAATAGGCAATAAATGCGTTCTATATTTGTAGGAAATATTTAATACAATATTTTATGAATTATACTTACTATGCGGAATTATGTCACCATTATCTTTGGCCCAATAGTTGACTGATTTCGGGAACGCTTGCGAAAAGCATTCTAACGTTACTTGTTGCCCATCGTACGCTCCTATCAGTTGATACTGAATCCATACAGACGGAGAAACTGAAAAAGGGAAACGTAGGAATGTTAAACGTGTTATTTTTATGTTCCACTTCCAGTAACACTTTGCACGTTCTTTAATTATTCAACAGGCTTAATTAATATTGGAGTTAATTCTTTCTACAGGGTCGCCAAGAGTAGATTCAGCAGGTTGGAATGGAGAAACACTTAATGGGGAGTATTCAAATAGACTAAGACGAAAATAACCGCAAATGTGTTATTAAAATGTTGCTCTAACTAGTACATAAGTGTTTTCTAGATCACCTCAGTCTCTCTGTTGAGCAAAAAATAAATAAATAGATACAATAGTTAGTCTCTCAATAAATTACTTTCTCAAATAATTAGCATCTTAAACTCAGCTCGAATACTCTCGAAAACTGCTCAATAAGACTCCATAAAGTATTATGTTAACACTCTTTCGTTCGTTGTTCTACCTGAGATCAAGCCTAGACTGTGTTGATGAGTTGCCAAAAAGCACGAAATAGCTGTCCACGGTTGGCCGTCTGTGATCGGATGAAGGAAAGCAAATATTTAATGGCTTTAATGACTATAATCAAGCTGACACTTTTTTTAAGCGAACATCCCGAAAAAGTCCAAGAGATACTTTTCAATTAAAAATAATATAATAATAATAATGTCTTTATTAATACGTCCACACTGCGAGGCGAAGTTTAGCTAGCTGGCTACTCTACCACACAGCGCAGGAACACATACAAAAGGAAAGATATAACAATTAATAGCAATCGACTAAATAATATATACAATAATTAAGGCTTAAATAGATTAATCTTAATATGTTGTACATCTATTCTACATAGCCCGCTCTAACAAAAAAAAAAATAAAGACAAAAAAAAATATATCAGCCAGCTTGGCTAGCAGACCCCAGAAGATGGTTCTTAATGTTAATATGATTTTGAGAAAACTTTACCTGTTTTTGCAAAAAACAGTAGGGTACAATTGGTTATGAGGAATCTCCGGACCCATGACCGTTATATGGGGTTGTCCAATAGGGACACAGGAAAGTAAACGTCAATTTGACATAGACGCCATCTTTGTTTTCTGTCACGGACATGTCATTTTGTTAGTCGAATGTTTACCATTGATCGCTATGGAGTCGTATTCGATTGAAGACCGCATTAAAGTTATTCAAGAGCACTACAAAAATGGTGCAAAAATAAAAAACACGTTTCGCGCGCTTCGTGAACATTTCGGTCGCAACAACCGCCCAAACGAATCAACCATCGATCGTCTGGTGCGTAAATTCGAGGCAACAGGTTCTGTGGCAAATCTGCCAGGCTCTGGCCGGCCAAGGAGCGTTCGCACACTGGAAAATATTGCTGTTGTGAAGGAGAGTGTGAGAGACGATCCGAAACAATCAACAACGCGTCGATCCCAAGAATTGGGCATTTCGAGAACCAGTTTGCTCCGCATTCTCCACAAGGATTTGAATGTACACGCCTACAAGATCCAATTGACGCAAGAGCCGCGTCGGGCCGACCATTTTTCGCGCCGAACGTTCTCAGATTGGCTCCTCGAACACCGCCAAATTGATGCCAATTTTTCATCAAAAGTCATGTTCAGCGACGAAGCGCATTTCACTTTGAATGGGACGGTAAACAAGCAAAACTGCCGCATCTGGGCGAACGAAAATCCCCGTGAGTATCAAGAGCAGCCGATGCATCCTCAAAAAGTGACTGTGTGGTGTGCATTGTGGTCAAAAGGCATCATCGGACCTTACTTTTTCGAAAATGCGGCCGGGGACGCCGTTACCGTCAATTCTGAGCGATATCACTTGATGATAGAGGACTATTTTTTGCCGCAACTTGAAGGAATGGATATGGACGATGTTTATTTCCAACAAGACGGTGCAACATGCCACACAACCAACGTCAATATCCATCGATTGCAGTCCTTCTTCGGTGATCGCGTGATTTCGCGCAGAGGAAATGTGCCATGGCCACCAAGATCGTGCGATTTGACTCCCTTGGACTTCTTTTTATGGGGATATTTGAAAAGCAAAGTCTACGTCAACAAACCAGCCACCGTCCAAGAACTCAAAAACAACATCATTGCCGAGATAAATGCCATAGAACCGACCATGTTGCAAAATGTCATTGAAAATTTCGACCATCGCGTGGACGTCTGTAAATCCAGTCGTGGTGAACATTTGAGCGATATTATTTTTCATACATAAATGGTATAAATGAACTTTCAAAATAAAGTACCCAACTTGATTTGAATATCAATCTTTCTTGTTTTAATATGCGTTTACTTTCCTGCGTCCGTTTTGGACAGCCCCATACATTCTGTTCATATTTTTGCACGCAGTATTTTCCTAACAATATTCTTCAACATCCTGCGGTACCAAACACTATAATCGCGCGCCCAAGAAATTATCCGAGATGAAATGAGATACTGTAGCGTGATATATGAAGGTTCATCACAGATATCTTTCTTGTTTCCGCAATAATTAGAAGTCTACTTAGAAAAGGTGGGTATATCGTATATGGCGCTGTAGCCATAATTACGCTCATAGAGCGAGGCCGCCGATCATTCTGATTTTCAATTATAGCTGTTAATGCAGGATCTATGGCGTCTTTCAGTAATTCCAAATACATTTCACCGGTCAAATTTCCAGGTAAGAAAAAAGGACCAACTAAATGATCGCCAAAAATACCAGCCCAAACATTTAATTTTTGTGGCTGCTGTGTATGAACCTCATGATAAATTCTGGGATTAGAATTGGACCAATATCGGCAGTTATGACGATTTACTACGCCATCTAAGAAAAAGGAACATTCGTCGGAAAAGCAAGTGTTGAATAGAAAATGTTCACCGTTTATAATTCGTTCACTCATATCTTCACAAAATTATAATCGCCGATCAAAATCGTCTTCATTAAGTTCTTGTGCCAGGTGAATTTTATACGGATGAAAACTATGGGCTTTTAGAATCCGTTGGACAGTACGTCGACTAACACCACACACAGTCTCCAATTTGCAGTTACTTAACGTGGGATCTACATAAACTTGCCCTAAAACCCCCATTTCTATTGCTTCGTTCGTTATGGGATTTTCAATGCTGCGTTTTTTATTAGCGACTGACCCAGTTCCCAGAAATTTAGCTACAAGTTCTAGAACATATTTTCGATGCACGTTACTGTTCTCATGTCGTTCATTAAATATTTCTGCTGTTCTATTAGCGTACTGATTATTTCCGAAAAATATTTCGATAATTTCAACTCTTTCTGCTGTGGAATATGCCATGGTTAATTTATGCAATAAAGCGTTACAAGTTATTTTAGCAACAAAGTTTGGTCAAATCAATCGCAAACTATGTACTAAATTCCTATTTAAAATAAGTACGAGATATTTCCTTATCTTTCTTCAAGAAATAACTTTTTGCCTCAAAAAAAAAAAACGCTCCAATAGCTATTTTCAACAACAAAATGATAAACAAACCATGGGCGTAGTGAAGAAAAGTAAATTCTTTTAGTCAAATTTCTTCTGAAAGTAGTACAAACTAATCTGATGTTCCTATTAAAGTCTACTTTAAGCTTGAAATCAATAAATGTTCAAAACTACTGAACTGAAGCTCATGTATTTTACATCACTATAAAGGGAATTGAAAGACCTTTAAAATAAGGTATCACTCGACCCCCCTTTCAATTTAAGATTCTAGGGTTGGTGTCACCCCCGCCCAGGGGGCTGCACGTGTTAACGTGATTTTTTGCCAAGCCTGTGTCCCCCTCGAAAACAAAATCGACGGGTCTGAGCGTTTTTCAAAAAAAAACTGAGCTGCCAGTAAATGCGTCTGTTTCGTTTTCGATGCGCCACCCTGTATATAGTTGGCTACAGCGCCATCTATGAGTCACTGATCCTTTCAAAGTAGACTGGGAATTATTGCGGGAAAGAGGAAGATCAAGGGCGTGCGCAGGGGGGCACCTAGCTCGGCAAAAATTAAATCGAGAAAACATTTTTTACAAAAACATAATTATTCATGTCACAAGCTGAATAAATATCTATTAGATGGAAAATTACT